AAGTTGGAGATTCTAGGTACACCTGTGTCAGAATAATAGATTACAATTGAAAATACACATTTCAACATAATGGACTCATTGATTTCTGTCAACACAGCAGTGTAAACTGTAAAGAATATTAATTTAATAAGCTTTAACCAGTATTTACTGAAATAAATTCTGTTTTGAATTGTACAAGATTATGGGAGATGGTAGATAGTCTTTAATAGTCTATTTAATCTTCCTTAACTTATGTCATGAGTTTTGCTGCCGACAAGGTAAACCATTTCAGGACCTGTTTTTAGTTCCCTTAGGAGGAAATGAGACTTTCAGACATTTGGATCAACCAAACTTTCAAACCATGAATTTTGTACTTGGTGCCCTGTTAAACTTGCATGTGTAATATATTTATCCTGGCCAAGTTTTAACAGTCTATTTCTGGATTATAGCATAACAATGTTAGGTAACTATTTGCACTTCAGGATAAGTTGTGTCACAAAACATCTGATATTCTTTTTGTCTCAAAGTAACAAGTATTGATTTTATACCATGCCACCAACACACCTTCACAATTATGCAAAAATATGTATCATCATAATAATCTATCAGTCTAGATAAATGGCCTCACACAGATGGGTTACTGTTTATAACTGATTCCCAAATATTGTTTGTATGTTTGTGGATGATATTAATTATGATGGCAGATGTGATTCTTACAACCCCCTGATCTAGTGTTGCAGTTGATCAAAATAAAGGTTAAGATCAGACAAACCCCATGTTAACTGTCAAATTCATTTAAAACATGTGCATTTTCACAGGTAAATTTCATTGCATTGAAATCATGTTAATTTCGTGATGAATAATACATTTCAGCATTGACTGGATGACTCAGTTTGAATTCCCTTGTAAACAGAAAACTGATAAAAGAATGGGCAGATAAAAAAAAAAATATGTTAGCTGGTTTGTTTTCTTTGGTATCTGGATTATAGATATAGTATTGATATGGGACAAAATTAGTCAGATAAAGGCGATAACTTCAGGGTTTTAAAAAAGCAATATATTATTTTCTGCCATGTTTATTTTTACAAGTGGTATTTTACCTGCTTGGCAAGGTCAAGTCTTAGACTGGCATGATGTCATTTGTTTACTGAAAGATTATAGGGCTGATTTTCTTTTGAAGATGAAATTGATGTCTTGTATTTAATACTGTTGATTAGGCCAGTCATTAATATCATAATCATTAAATTGTGGAAAATGACAAGATGTTAATCTCGTACAAAGCTTTGTATAAAAAAAAACCTGCTTCAATTCATTCAATGGACAATTCTTAAAGATGTTAATTTGGAGGGTATAAGCATTGACTTCATTTTTTAAAGGTAACAAAAGTGAACTTATCAGCATTTTAAAATTCAGACTAATCAAAATGGACCTATAATGTTTTTGTTAAAGGCATTCATGACTGTAAATGACCTAACTATATAGAATATAAGTGTTAAAAAAACCTTGAAGGCCAGGCATCTGCTGTTTGCAAATCTATAATTTAAATTTTAATTTTTTCACATCAGACCAGTGTACTATTGTATGCAGACTATAGTTAAAGTTGTATTTTGATTTTGGCTGTTTGCTATTTTATAAAATTGCTATAATACAAGAAAACAAAGCACAGATACAATACATGAATACAAAGCACAAAACTAAATATGAGATATTTATTTCTGAAAATTATACAGAAGTTCAGATAAAAAATGTTGTTTCATGTTTGACATCCACAAAGCCTTCAAAGAAATACTAATGCAAAAATAAAATCATACAGAAGTTGGTTTGTTATAGAGCTAATCAACATTACTTTGGCTAGATATCATGGGAATTCATATGAATAATAATGCTGCTATAATCTGCTCCAAATCACATGGTTTAGATCAGTGAAAAATACACAAGATAATATTGATTCACAACATAATTATATGTTACATTGAAATCACAAATGTTACAATGCTTGACTGTTTGGTAGCAATAAGTTATCAATAAAGGGCTTTGAACTTTTGTCAGCAAAAAAAAAAATGGAGAAAAGTGAAGGTTTCATAAGAAAAGTTTCAGAAGGAGGTACTTCTTGGTGTCTCACAGAGTGCTCATTATCTTGACATAAGGAACATGTGTATGCCAAGTCCAGAATATATAGATAAACTGGTAATAAATGAAAAAGGGGCATAAACCCATGCAATTCAAAGTGTACAAGTTTAACCTGTCATAAAGTTAAATGTCAAGAAGGTGTAAATGGTCAGCCAGTGCCTCTGATTGAGAGAACACTTAAAACAATAAGTGCATACATTAAGGATGTTTGCTCCTTTGTTTCAAAATAACAAGCTTTTTGAAAAGCTGTTATAAATTGATAGTTAATGAAGAACAGAACTTAAAAAGCAGAAAAAAATGAAAAGTTCGTGTCCTTGTTTTTGAGATATAAGCAATAAAAAATTTGGTGGAAAACTATTGTTCATACATTTAACATTGACACCTTTTTAGCTCACCTGACCTGAAAGGTCAAGTGAGCTTTTCTCATCACTTTGCGTCCGTCATCCTGCGTCCGTCGTCCGTAAACTTTTACAAAAATCTTCTCCTCTGAAACTACTGGGCCAAATGCACCCAAACTTAAACACAATCATCATTCAAGTATCTAGTTTTAAAAATGTGTCCGATGACCCCGCCAACCAACCAAGATGGCCGCCATGGCTAAAAATAGAACATAGGGGTAAAATGTAGATTTTGGCTTATATCTCTGAAACCAAAGCATTAAGAGTAAATCTGACATAGGGTAAAACTGATTATCAGGTCAAGATCTATCTGCTTTGAAATTTTCAGACAAATCTGACAACCTGTTGTTGGGTTGCTGCCCCTGAATTGTTAATTTTAAGGAAATTTTGCAGTTTTTGGTTATTATCTTGAATATTATTATAGATAGAGATAAACTGTAAACAGCAATAATGTTCTGCAAAGTAAGATCTACAAATAAGTTGTCATGACCAAAATTGTCAGTCAACCCCTTTAGGAGTTATTGCCCTTAATAGTCAATTTTTAACAATTTTTTGTAAATTTTTGTAATCTCTTACAAAAATCTTCTTCTCTGAAACTACTGAGACAAATTTAACCATACTTGGCCATAATCATTATTAGGGTATCTTGTTTAAAAAATTTGTCCGATGACCCCGCCTTCCAACCATCATGGCCGACTTGGTTAAAAATAGAACATAGGGGTAAAATGCAGTTTTTGGTTTATATCTCTGAAACTAAAGCTTTTAGAGCAAATCTGACAGGTGGCAAAAATGTTCATCAGATTTAGATTTATCTGCCCTGAAATTTTCAGACGAATCCGACAACCTGTTGTTGGGTTGCTGCCCCTGAGTTAGTAATTTTACAAAAATTTTGCAGTTTTTTGTTATTATCTTAGATATCATTATAATATCTAATATCTAATACTATTAATTATGATTTTAACCTTATTTTACATGATTCCCAAAGCATCAGTAAATACAGGTGAGCGACACAGGCTCTTGAGAGCCTCTAGTTTGTTTCAAAAACTATGAAAAAATTAAGGATTTTATAAGATTTTCAAAAATGGCTTTTTATGCCATATGAAATAAAATTATGTAAAGAAAATGTAGGAGTTAGCTGGCAAAATCTTTTAATAGCACTGCATGGATAAAACTAGAGGATTCTGAATATCTGACAAAAGTCAAAAACAAGAGTAGCAAACATCCTTAAATATCATTCATATGTGTGTAAAAGCATCCATGCATAGGTCTCGTGGTTATATATGCATTTACATAAGTAAAATCAAAATTTATTGGACTAAATCCAAACACTTGAACAGAAAACAAAATGTATGAAGCATGACATGATAGGTATGCAGATTTCAAAGTTCAAACCATTTCTATATCTTGAATACTCTTTTTAATGATTTAATTGTGTTTCATAGAATTTATGAATGGGTTTGTAGGTTTAAAATAAAAGAATATCCTAAAAACTTTAAACCCAAGATTCTTTGATGAAGGTATTGCAGTTAGAGTTTTTACTTCTCATATATATTATACCAACTTTTAATTTGTTTTAAAGAGACTTATTTCTGTGTTTTAAATGCACAGGTAAAAAGTTAGAACAAATATACTGAATGATTATGAAATAATCTTGTAAGTGAAGGGTGGATAATTCTGTTGTTAGAAAGGATTACTGGATAGCTAGACAGTCTATGTTATAAAATACAATACAATCATTGGTCATATTTTATAACTATTTAAATATCTTTTTGCCAAAGAGCAGAAAGGTGAAATGTCTACTGTCTAGTGCAAATCTTTGACAGCAGGTTTCTTATTTTTAAAGACACCAGCTGGTTGAATACTGAATTGACTTTCTGAAGACTAGATTTTTACTTCTTAGGCAAAACACTCTAAATCTGACATAAGAACTTTATGGATGACTTTAAATGGTGATCTATTTCTGGTATCGTGTCCTAATTTCAAACCCTTTTTTAAAGCGCTTCAAATAATCAAGAAATAAAAAAAAAAGCAAATGTATATGTAATATGCACTTTTTAGTACTGAAATTGTGGTTCATTTCTGGAGCAGTGATATCTTTTATAAGATAGTGCCAAATACAAATATATTCTCAAAGATATATTTGCAAATTGCAATATCTTTTTTATGAGTCTAAAAAATAGGTAAAACCAAAGCATTTATCGTGTACTTAATATTAGTACTATAACCATTTAATATTTTAAAATAACTTTGTTGTTTTTGTACAACATTATTTAAGCTATAATTATTAAAGTTGTCAAAGCTTTTTCCCAAGTTTTAGAGAAATGATACAACTACAAGCTTAAAGATATCTGCTGTTGTTAACAGATTTCAGCTAATGTGTAATGTTTTCTTTCAGTTAGAGTTATGTAGCAGTCCTAGCCTAAGGTTATATATTCATTGATACAAATTGATGTATTATTTCATACTTATTAAAAATCTATTTTCTATTTTCAGGGCCCCAGTAGGTGATCTGTGAAGCAACAATGTCTGCCCCTCAGGTCAATGGGCCCTCCAGCCCCTCTGGGAAGTATATAGACAATATAGGTAAATCAATAAACTTTTATCTTGAGTGTATATTGTATAAATATTTTACATCTACATAAATATATTACATCAGAAATATTCGATTGTAATAAAACACCACTTCAACCAGTTAATTGTTACTTACACAACCTTAACATTGTTTGTTTAATAAATTCTTATGATTCATGTGATTTGCAAGTAGAAGTTCAATGGTGGACAGATCTTTCAGACAAAATTTTTTTTAAAAAACCAACTTGAAAAAATCAATGTAGGAAATGGTTTGTGTTGTACTATTACAAAAGCAATTCATTAAATAGTATCAACATTAAACAAAAAGGATTACTCAACAATTCTGGGTTTTGCTTTTTTGTCTGATTTTTTTTTTTAATTCAGAAAAAACAATCTAGGATTGTAATGTTATAAGGACCTTGCTGATCTTCTGAAGGCATGTTACAGTAATCACTGTCAGTCTGTATGCATATAATTAGAGAGAATTTTTTGTAATTTTTGTATTCTATATGGAATGCTGATTTGATGTTCCAGTTCGATTTTGAAGATTTTCCTACATGGTTCACAGTTACAAGACATATATGGAAAAAAGAATTAAAAAAAGGTTTCTACATAACAATAAATCAAGTTTGGGCTAATGTACTATCGAAATTTTTATACAAAATACTAGGTTCAAAGCTCTCTTTTTATTGGTTTGCCATTTCAGAGTTATGATGTGAATTGAATCATCAAAAGTTTGAAAATATTTGTCATAATAATATATTTTTCAGTGAGACCCATGATGATAAATTATTCTTCTGGTTTAAACAATTATCTGCTATCTTGTGGAAGTTTTAGCTGCCATTATTTTGAACTTTTAGAACCCAACATAAACTTTAGATACTTCCATTTGCTGGCTTGAGTTATATTGTTAGAAAGTTCATAATGCAAAAATTAGAATTCATAGAAATAGTTTAATCAAAATAGTACAAATGTACAGCATAATACTATATACAGGTGGGCCTACATAATAAAACAAAAATTATGTTCATTTAACAGATTTCATGACATAAAAATAAATTGAAATATACAAGTGTTAGATCTTTCAGACAAGTTACATAAGAGTTAACTGATAATTTATCAGTTGGTGATTAAGACAAGGAAAAAACTTTGATGATATTCTGTCATATTTCTTATTGATTGAGTTTAAAGTTGCACCTACATAAGTCGGTCAATATAATCTTCCTTCTAATAAATATGAGTGGGGGTACAATGACAATACACATGTAATACTTGACAGTCAATTGAAATAAAGGAGGTTTCATATTCTAATGCTTGCATCAATGCATATATATGAATATAAAAAAAAATTACAGACAGACTAAGAAACACTTGAGTAACTTCTACCATAGATGATTCCTGTAGGAGAAGGGGCGTTGCCCAATAACACTTTATAATGATAATGCCAAAGTTCTTTTATTTACCTAACACTTGATGCTATTATGCAGGTAGGCATGAAAGATAAAATTTATCATCTTTTATCTGTTGTGGTTGTCCATTAAAAGTCGATTAGGACACTGATCAAATGGTTGACCTCAAGTTTCTGTCAGTTATAAGGTCAGGTCTGCAGAACCTATCACAGTCAGATGTATTAAGGTGGAATGTATATCTGATAGCATTGTAGAGAAGGGTTGAAAGTACACACTGGAAATCCATTTTATAATATTTGGTATCTCTATTTATGTTAAGTCAGATGATAAGCTGTCAAAAAGCTGATAGTTTTCTTGTGTAAGGAGCTAATGTATTGATCTGTTTAAACTGGATAATATTTTCTTCTTCATGTCTTTTTGGATCATTTTTTCAACTGCAGCAAAGAGAATAGTTGCTGATAAATAGCAAATTTCTCCTGTTATGAATTTATTTTTGAAAAATGTAATTATGTACAAATTTCAAAGGCAACAGGTGTGATGTATGGATGTAATGTAAGGATGTTTATAAAACTTAAGTGTTGTATTCTTTAAACATTAAATAAGTGAAATTAATTTTTAAAAATATACATGCTATTAACAGTATGAGTATTTTTGCTATGCTCATTCCCACTTCATGTATCCTCTTTGGAAAAAATATAATAGAGAGGTCCTAAATCCATAAATATTCCTACTATTTCCATTAGGTCCTTGATCTTCATTCTAATTTTGCTGGATGATAAAACCTTGTATAATATAATTGAAAATCCTTCAACAGAAAACAGTTATGTTCAAACAGCAGTTTTACACAAATGTAAGCCAGCAAGAATGTTAAGCATTTCTGTTTGCCAGATCTATTTATAGAACATACAGATCAAAGATGATACTTGAGATCCATAATGACTTTAATCATACATAAAATATAAGATAATCAGGTCATGCTAGTAAAATGTGTACCCTAATTATCTGTTTTGAAAACAGAATTAGGCCAAACAAGTATAAAAAACAGGTTTGTGTTACTTCAGAAAAAAGGATGTTTTGAGGACTTAGAGGTACAGATAGGGAATATGTATTACAGTAAAATATATACATTTATTGATACTCACAAAGAGAGAGAGATGATCATAAAATATGGGGACAATCAAATCAACAGCTATAAGTTGTATAAAAACAGACAACAACAGGATGGCAAAAAAAACCCCAACATCAAGACGGGACATGTAAAGCAGGTTTGACTGTTCTTTGAATACATGTACATTGTAATAAGTCCAAGTGTCAGGTTCAACTTATTTGCTTTCTTAGTAAGCATTCAATCGTTCATTGTTGTAAAATTTTTAAAGTTTTACATTAAAGATGTTTTTTATGCCCTCCTCTGCTAGGCAAAAGGGGCATTGAGTTTTATACTTGTCTGTTTGTCTGTCTGTCTGTACGTACGTCCCGAAATTTGTTTTTGTTCAACAACTTTAGTTTGCCTCAACCAAATCTTATGAAACTTATCCACACAATGCTTTTTACTGCTGATCACAGATCACATTCAAATTTAGGTGGCGTCACTTTCACTGTTCTAATATTGAATCATATATATGCTTTGTAAAAGTTACAACTTGATAACTTCTTACTGTCAGAATCATATATGATGAATGATCGGGGTCAAAGTTAGCTCTTGTTCCTCCTTTTCACAGATGAAACATAAAAGACGAACTTGCCTCTCCTCTTTGTAAAACTAAAGATGAAAACATCAGTTACAAAACTTAATATATTGTGGGGGTGTTTGATATAAGCTTATTAAACTTGTCACCTTTGAAATGCAAACCTTCTAAGTGGCCATGTCCTGCATCTCCAATTATTTTATTTCATAAGACAGTAGATTAAAAGAAAATTGTCCCCTTTCTGAAGGATTAAGAGAATATTTTATATACATAGCATTGTGAATGCTTAAATATGAAACATAAGAATGAAAAGTTTGGAATAATTGAAGAAGTTCCAGAAGGTAAATATATGTATATATTGAGTTGGTGAGACTTGTTTCTGGAATCACCTTCAGGTATAATTAATTGTATGCTCAGACCAAATGTTTTGGAAGCAAATGCATTCAAAGAGTGTGAGCATAATGTATAATTAGTTTGCCTCAACACTATTGAAGGGGACTTTGACTTGACCACTGTTTAGATCTTTCATATTGTGACCTACAACAATATACTTTGGTGTTAGAATGCATCTTGAAGAGTATAGCATAATATTTGTAAAAACTGATCAAGGCTACATACCTATTTTTTAACCAACTTGAATTTAGTTTTTGGTCAGAGTTTAGATTTCAGATATGCAAATAGATGGGTACAACAGCATTACACAAAATAAGTCACCCTGACTCATTCAGTGCATATTAGACTTTGATCATACTCCTAAATGGTGCTCCATTATTGGAGAAACAGCAAATCACAGTTTCAAATTATTTGATTTAACACAGCAAGGACTTAAATCCACACCCTATCACAATTTCAGTGTACAAGACCACTAATGTTGCTACCATGACATAGGGTGCATAGTAAATTGGGTTACCAGTTTTTGACAGGGTGGTAATTAAAACTTCACATATCTTTAATAGTAAATTCCATGATTGTTTACTCTGCATATCCATTTAAATATTTTATATAAGAAACAAATTGTGAATGAATTATTATATCTGTGAAAATCTATGTATAGCCATTGTGTGTTGAAATGTTCCATCTTGATTAGGGTCTGACATGCCTGTATACAATTGTTCTAGTGTCAAAGTTCTAGTCAGATTTGTCATGCTCATGTTGCAATGACATACTTTGGCGTGGGTTTTATAGCCACCAACATTTGTAAATAGTGTGAAATGAAATGCACATTTTACATAGTCAACACATACTTAATGGCTCATAAAGGGTGTTGGCTTATTGAAGTACATCCTTATCAAGACAATGTAAACTTTTTTATGTCTTAAAATTGAATGCTCGAACATAAACTATAAAGTTTGTAGGTTTATAGCTATTTTTAGTTAATAGCTTTTTCAAGGTTGGATACATGTAGTTGTAGTTTAAAGCAAAGTAGAAGTAAATGTGTTTCTTTTTAATAGATTCTTAGAAAAAAATTTTATGCAGTTAGAGAATTGCATCTGAATACATTTATAGATCTATTTCATAAATTTTTAATTGATTGTATCTCTAAAAGTATGATTGCTACAAATATCAATTTTTCAATATTTTTAGAATGTATGAAAAATGGGGAACAAAAACTGTTTTGTCACCTTGAATTACAATTTACTCAGAATTTTACAAGTTTCTGTTTTAATTATGAAAATATAAGGATGTTTTGCATATTAGAAAAAAAGATGGAAATGTAAAATTTTCTATCATGGTCAAAGAAGAATTAAAACAATTCATAAGTCCTGAAAGTGAATTATTTTGGACAACTATAGATTCATTATTTTTTTCTGGGGTATCAATATTCACGTTTTTTGTGGGTATTGATGAACCACAAATTTGAGTGTTCAAAGATGTCCAAATTTCCTATTAGCTTGAAAACAGAATTTTCAGAACCACAAAATCAAGTGCATTGTATCTCGGAAATAAAGTTTTCTCTCTCAATCCACAAAAATAAATATCAGCAAATATAAACAGTACATGGTTTTTGTCAAGCCTGCGACTTTTGTCGCAGAAAGCTCGACATAGGGATAGTGATCCGGCGGCTACGGCGGCGGCGGCATTAGCTAACTTCTTAAAAGCTTTATATTTTAGAAGCTAGAAGACCTGGATGCTTCATACTTTGTATATAGATGCCTTATGTTACGAAGTTTCCGTCTGTCATATGTCCAATGTCCTTGACCTCATTTTCATGGTTCAGTGACTACTTGAAAAAAAAGTCAAAATTTTTTGTAATGTTAATTTCTTTCTTATTATGAGTAATAGGATAACTATATTTAGTATGTGCGTACCTTGCAAGGTCCTCATGCCCGTCAGACAATTTTCATTTGACATCGACCTCATTTCATGGATCAGTGAACAAGGTTAGGTTTTCGTGGTCAAGTCCATATATCAGATACTATAAGCAGTAGGTCTACTATATTTGGTATATGGAATGATTGTAAGGTGTACATGTCCAACTGGTAGGTGTCATCTGACCTTGACCTCATTTTCATGGTTCAGTGGTCAAAGTTAAGTTTTTGAGTTTTGGTCTTTTTTTCTAATACTATATGCAATAGGTCAACTATAAATGGTGTATGGAAATATTTTATGATGTACATGTCAGTCTCACAGGTTTTATTTGACCTTGACCTCATTTTCATGGTTCATTTATCAGTGTTTTTAGTTTTTGTGTTTTGGTCTGTTTTTCTTCAACTATAAGCAATAGATCAACTATATTTGATGTATAGAAGGATTGTAAGGTGTATATGTCTGTCTGGCAGGTATCATCTGACCTTGACCTCATTTTCATGGTTCATTGGTCTATGTTAAGTTTTCATAGTTAAGTTTGTTTCTTAGATACTATAAGCAATAGGTCAACTATATTTAATGCCTAAATTGATTGTAAGGTGTACATGTCTGTCTGGCATGGTTCATCTGACCTTGACCTTATTTTCATGGTTCATTGGTCAATGTTAAGTTTTCTTGTTTAAGACTGTTTCTTAGAAACAATAAGCAATATGTCAACTATGTTTGGTTTATTGAATGATTGTAAGGTGTACATGTATTTCTCATTTGGTTTATCTGACCTTGACCTCATTTTCTTGGATCATGTTAAGTTTATGTGTTACTTGTAGTAAAGCTTTGTATTTAGGACTATCAACATAAAATCAATGGTTAGTAAAGAAGGCGAGACATTTCAGCGTGTGCACTCTTGTCTTATTAAATACAGATTTTCTCATATGAAAGATGGGATATTGAATTCCTAGTGCACAGTGAAAGATGACTAGGCATTACCTCAAAAATCAATATCAGCAGCTACAATGAATGTTTATTACCAAGCAAATTTGCCTATTGACCCAGAATTCAGTTCTGAAATTAAATTAAAAAAAACTTCATGATGACTTAAACATTGAATGAATAAAAGAAGATGTATAATATATGTCAATAAGACAACAAAACCACCCAAGTAACTAATATGATGAGATTGTGATAGTGTTCCAGCCAGTGGCAAGGACAGGATGCTAATCTTAAAAAGGGCAGAGTAAACTGAATAGGGAAAAACCGACTGCAAGACCCTCATGGGTAGTCAAGGTCGTTAAAAACCACCCTCATCAATAGAGAAAGTGCAGTGTATCACATGTGTGAAATTTTCAGACAAAAAATATTGATTCCTTCTATTATTTTGTTAAATGGGCATTATAAAGTTATAAAATGCTAATTATATAGATAGGTGATTTAATTTGCTCTTAAATCAGGGTCCCAAAAAAGGAAAATCTGTCCATACAGTGATGCACAGTATATTTGCATCAATGGATTCTTTCCATTAGTTTATCTGTTACATAATTTTTAATGTTTCTTTACAAATTGGGAAATTTACATTGAGCATAAGTATACTGTATTTAAGTATTCTTGTATGTGGGAGAATAATTAGATCATTTTAGTTATAGTGTTGAAGACTTATGTATTTCAGCTGTTTGTGTTCTATGTAGCTTCTTCATCAAGTTTATTCCACTCTTTCTTCATTACTTTGTAAAAATTCTGGAGCATTTAGTCATCATGTCTGTCTGTCTGTCTGTTCTTCCACCCATCTGTCCCTTCCTTCGTCTGTCTCTCTGTCTTTCTATCCCTCTGTCTGTGTGTCTGAAACAAATGGTTTTTAGATGGTGACTGTATGTAAATACAACATTTGATAAAAGAGACACAGATAATAAACATCACTTTTTATGTATTTCCAGATCCTGATGACCCAGAATACCAGCGTCAGATGAGGAGACCAGCAGATGTCAAGGAAGATGTGAAACAGATGCAGGATAGGTCCAGAGTATCGTTAGTCCTCAACAGCGAGGCTTTTCGTAAAGAGTTAGAGGAGATTATAAATGAACAGATTTCTGAAGGAAATGACCCCACCAACTTAATAGCACTACAGCAAATTACAGATCTACTCAACCAAAACAACAAATCAGGCCAGACATATGGTGGTTTTGGAAGAGGAAGTGAGTGAATTTGTTAGAGTTTTTAGCTAGATTTTGATGGAGATAGTTTTCTTTGTAGAAGTAAATGCAGGATTGTGTGTATTTTGATATTTTCAAGAATGAGTCTTTGTTTTTCATGATAGGTTTGCCATTTTTAGGTTTTGCAAGGCATCCTTAAGAGGATAAAAAGATTGAAGAGGTCTTAATTGACCACAAGTAACAGATCTTTACAAAATGGAATTTAATGCAGTCAAAATGACTGTGTATTGACAGAAAGACAGACAGAAAACGAAAATAAATAAGTTCTATATTTCTGTTCATTCTGATTCAAATGACCATTTCAGTTAAATATCAATACAATGGGTTGATAGGGCCAAACACTGAAATTAAGAGAAATGCAATCCAGTCAGTATTTCTACAGGGAAACTGCAGTAGCTTTTAGGATGCAGAATATGAATACGTTCAAGTACCTCTATTAATATTAAGTGGTATTACATCAAGTATATATATATGTCATGTGATTCCACAACTTAAATAAGTGCCCCCGTTAGAATTATTATGATGTTTATGTTTTCCATCAGAATAATGTTATGAGTGAAAAACAGTGATGTTTTTTTAGTGATTCACCTTAAGGGGGCTCGCGGGTTCAAATTTTCGCGCCAACTGCGCAGGAAGTTGCGCATCGATATCGCAAGTCATCCTATTGTCGTAATTGTCAATAATAATTAATTTTGATTATTATAAATAATCTATTTGATTTAAATATATAACAAAAGAATGTTGTTATCGAAAACTTTAATTCTAGAGAATTTTACAAACAAATTTATTGCTATTTTCATTGTTGCAAATGCACTTCCGTTTTGTGGTAATGGCATGTTCTTGCCGGCGTGAGAAGATAAACACAAGATAAATCACAATAATCGAACACGTGGGCTGCTTTTCATGAATACTGAAACAAAGATCGAAAATATTAGAACACGATCTTCATTTGAGTAGCTTATGAAGCAGTTTCACACTTGTTTTACACTAGAAAAGGACCCGGAAATATGCTTAAAATGTATGTAATATTTTGTAAACAAACAAGGAATATAAATGTAAGTAATTCTTCTTTAAGTTTCTACCGATGCGATCCTTCGTTTATTGAAGGTATATTTTACATCGTGATCGAATGATCCCAGCACAAGAATCATTCACGACCGTAAAATCATTTGAAAGTAATTTTTTAACGGAAATGGGAAAAAAAGCAAAAAACAGGGACAAACATTAATGTGTATTATAAATTATATAAAATTGAGATTGGAAACGGGGGAAATTACATGTAAGGACAACAATCCGACCAAATAGCAGAAGATGACCTGTGGCCACTATGGGTATAATGGGTCTTCAACACAGCGAGAAAATCCAGCCCCTGGAGGTTGGGTCCAGCTAGCCCCTAAACAATAATGTATTGTCCAGGGAAAATGGACGTCACACTTAACGCCAAAACATATAAATGAACCAAAAATTAAAATACATACAAGACTAAAAAAGACTAGAATTTCACGACTTGGGACAGGGTGAGGCACAAACAATATTTCAGCGAGGTTAAACATGTTTTGTCAGATGTTAACCCTCCACTGTCTGTAACCAATGTGGAATAAGCAAAGACACAGCTATACCCACACTAAAATGAGTGATGCTCATTGTACAATGTACTTGTGGTAAATGTTATGACACATTTTTGACAGACCACTTAGTGTCATAGTTGCCAACTGACATGATATTCGCGTGTAATACACGCTTTTTCAACGGTTTACACGCGAGGATTTTGTCACATGGCGTGTACACGCGTTTCGCCACTTTACACGCAATTACACGCTTTTTCGTTGTTTTGATTTTTTGGTCGTTAGTGATATCGCGATTCTTGGGTTTTTTCATTATTAGACAAAAAATACCGAAAATTTCGAAGTAATTGTATCGTCGCCATTGCTTATTTTTCTATATGGACGAACAGCAAAAGCCCTTAAAGTAAGTAGTTTGTGATTAGTTTATTTACGATTTTGTGACTTTCTTTCTTTCAAATTCACTTAGGGGAAATGTCGACAGAAATAGTTCGCTTTCAGGACCTGTACCGTCGTCTTAAGAGCCGATTGCTGAGCGAAATCGATGTGTACGTACCAAGATAAATTTCAAGATTTACAAATTATATTTGGGAGTTCAAGTTTAAATTATCGAAAGACAAGTAACGCATTGTGCACCCTATGTTGCAATCATAACAATACAGAGGAGAACTACAATGTAGCGATTTGATTAAGCATTTAACGTGCTAATGGTAATCAAATAATAAAATACTTTTCTTTTTCAGTTTCAAATCTAGCCAACAGATTCCCACAGGCCAAAGGGGATGGAAATATCACAGAACTGTTGGATCAGTTCTCATAGTACCAGCTGTCTTCTAATGAACTACCCAGTTTTGACCAGACAATAGCCTCAGAGACAATAGCAACATATATAGTTCGTTGGGAGCAATGGCAAATATAATTACATGAAGATGACATTTTAGATGGCAAAAAAACGTTATGACACTCTTTCAAAGCTTGATCAAGCTATTTAAGTTCAGCCAAATATCAATTCTGACTGTGAGAGAACATTTTCAATTATAAAGAAATCTACACTGAATTCTGATCAGAACTCGACAATTTTAATGATATATTGTGTTACTGTCATCAAGTAAATGTAATCAAACTGGCAGTTGTTTTGAATATGTGCCTAAGCCTAGGGTGTTGCTTTAAAAGCAGCAAAACAGACCACTGTTGAATACAATAAAAGTTTACACTAGAATATTGTGTTTATTATATATTCACAAATTTGTATAATCATGATAATGTAAAATTATGAATATTGTTCATATAAAAAAGTCTGCATCTTCGTCGCGCGTTTTCACACGCTTTTTGACATGTCATGTCATGTCATGACATGATTTCTCATTGTCAGAGGTTGGCAAGTATGCTTAGTGTTCAAGAGTCGTTTTCACATTAACATGGTTAATCTTACAACTAAGATCGATAGTACAATGTAATTCATGGTGTGTTGACTAAATCACCATTTATTTGCAACTTGGCAGTTGTGTTATATATAAAAAAGAAGATGTGGTATGATTGCCAATGAGACAACTCTCAACAAGACCAAATGACACAAAAATAAACAACTATAGGTCACTGTACGACCTTCAACAATGAGCAAAGCCCATACCGCATATATAAAGTCAGCTATAAAAGGCCCCGGAATGACAAATGTAAAACAATTCAAACGAGAAAACTAACGGCCTAATTTATGTACAAAAAATGAACCAATAACAAAAATGTGACACATCAACAAACGACAACCACTGAATTACAGGCTCCTGACTTGGGACAGGCACATACATGCAGAATGTTGTCTACATCAGACACCATAAGTAAATTAATACTAATGACTATTTGACTTTTCGGGGAAAAAGGCAGAAGTTTCTTTTGCAAACAGAATTTTCATTTACTCTGTTGTTAGTTTAAATTATTAGTCCCCTACCGACGAAGTCGAATGAGACTTTTGGTTTGCACTTTGTCAGTCTGTCTGTCTGTCCATCCATCAGTAACCCCACCACCCTCTTTTTCTAAAATTCTGGGTCCCTCCTGTAGATTTGTCATGCAAAACTTGGCACATATCATACTGTGTTGATTATTTACATATGATAACATGGATAAGGTGAGGTGCATATTGAACTATATATTTCAAACAATTTACTGTTGTATTAAAATTTTGTTCTCTTTGTTAAATTTTATGTCAAATGTGTTAATTAATAAAGTTATATCAGTATGTGTTTTGCTAGAACAGTACACTTTTCATGGACAGAATTAAAAAGTTAGATTAATTCAAATCGGGCTATGCTTATAAATTAGTTGGAATTGAAAAAGGAGGGTACATGTAATAGTTCTTATAATTATTTTCAAAGTGGCAAAATGTAAAAGGTTATTCAGGTTATTTCAATGATTCGTTACTTTTATAATTTCTTTATTACATACAAATAAATGTACATTTTTTGTATTTTTTAACATATGGGAAGTGAACGGCCATACTTTGAGTTAGAGCTGGTAGATATTCTATGATTTTAATATATATTTTTGCCTAAAAGTAGAACATTATATAAAAAAAAAAGATGTGGTATGATATCCAATAAAACAAAAAAAAAAACAAATGACACAGAAATTAACAACAATAGGTCACTGTACCGCATTCGACAATGAGCAAAGCCCATACCACATAGTCAGCTTTAAAAGGCCTGTAAAAATTTAATTGAGAAGGTGCAAGTCTAGTGTGTTTTTTGTTATATTTTCATTTACCAGGTATTGTCTGAAAGAAATGCAAGTAACAAAATGTTACAAATATGTTTCTAGGATTTAGAAAAAAGGGGCAAAAGGCTTCCCAAACTAGGCAGTGGTTGAAGTGGGACATGTAAAAAGGCTATGAATTAACCATATATGTACCTCCCCTAAATCCACCTCTTTAAAATAATGAAATAATTTTATTTTCAAACTAAATAGACATTTTTTATAGACTTTGCATGACCTAAGACATGTTAGAGTAGGAAATTATAAAAGAGTTGACAAAGTAAATGTACAATCTTTATTAAAGACAATACCGATATATCCATTTTAATCATGTAGCTTAGCCTAAGGTAGTTTATTTTTTACATTAATTTATTTAACAATGTTAAATGCCCTAATATATTATGTAGCATGTATGTAAAGCAATTGAAGAATCATTCAGTGTATCAAGGCTTCAAGATTTATTATAATTATTCAAAATTTAAATTAATGTGGGTCTGAAAAATTAAAGATTATCCAAAGAAGGTGGCTTTACATGCATGATGCATGACATAAAAATGTTTTTTTTCTACCAATTTAAAATTTTTAAGGTTTTTTAATTCTTCCACATGAGTATAAAACATGCTTGGCCATGTATAATTGAATAGAAAAAAAAACGACAGTGCAAGGGCTGTATAGCCAGTCAAGGTAGATAAGACTCCCATCATCATCATGATTGAAAAAAGTTATTTGGTCAATTTAGGCAATAACGCATATTTACACATAAAAATTAATACAGAAGCTATAGGAAATAGATTGTTTTTGCATAAGTTAAGAAGTACAATGTACGCTAATGCAATATATTTTTCAATTTTTAGTGGAAAACTTGCATGTAATTTTAGTCCTAATGGTTATACACATGTTCATTGTATTTGGTGAACTAACTATCCTACCAAAGAAAATAAAGGTAGTATTTGAAATGAAACAGGTACACTTATCAAAATAATTTACTGTTGAGAACTTTATAAATCTCAAAAACACTGTTTTAGCATAAAAAAAACATGTGTGCATTTAAATTAATTGTAAGAGGGAGGAAGGGGGGGGGGGGGGTGGTGACAGGTATTTGCATAACTGATTATACAGAACAGGATTTTTAAAAATTGGCACACTTTGAAAAGAAAATCATAAGGTTATATGAATAGAATAAACCTGTGAAGTTGGCCTGCTACTAATCAAACCATGCAATTCAACACTTTTAAATTAGTTATTTTTTTGGGGGAATTTATTGAATCTAAATAAGTAATTTATGGGAACTGAAATTTGATCATAAATGAGTACTTTTGTCACAATACTGCATGTTGTTATTTATATTTATTTGAAAAAGTTACCAAGATTGGATTTTATTATGCCCTGCCACAAATGTGGATGGATTATATAGATTGATACTAGTATACCTTTGTCAGTCCATATGTATGTACATCCCTTTCCAGTAAAGTTTTGCATTTATCTCTATTTCTCAGAAACTAATGGTAATATATCAATGATATTTTTTCTCCACAGACATCTTGTATACTAGTAATGCTAGTAGTACTATACATTACTTGAGTCACTTTGACCTACATTTATTGCTTTTGTGTCTTTGGTTAAGTCTTGTGTTTAGGTTCATTTCACAGAAACCTATTGTGATATATCATCACTACAGTATTCTTTAATGATACCACACAGGTCATCAACAATTTGATTACTGTGACCTACATTTAATGGCAGGACATCCTGTGTCTTATAGACACATTTTCTATATAATACAAATCTAATAACACACTATTTAACCTGAAATTTTTATGTATGTAATTTCAAAAGCATAAAACGGATAAATTGACAGATATAAAAAAAAGGATTATATGGCGGGTGTATCAGATTCAACTATCTCATGTGTTAATTTTTATACATAAACAAGTACTAGGAAATGAAAGAAGAATTTGTTTATGTCAAACTTAGATATGCTCCTGTAATAATTCCATTATACAACAAACATAGAAGCTGTCCTGTGTGCTATATTTGTCAGCATTGTGTTTAAAATTTCAAATATATATAAAAAGGTGGGATATACGGGGCATGATTGCCACTGAGAAAACTTGCCACCATAGACCAAAAGAAATAGAAGTTAAGAGATATATGGCCTTCAACAATGAGCCAACTCCATACCGTTTGGCAAGCTATAAAACCAAATGACAAATGTAAGGCAATTCAAACATGTCAAAACAGCCTGATTTATGTACAAAACACCAATAAAATAAAAATACCTTGCAAAGTTTCATCAAAATTGGAATACTAATGTTAGAGGTCCCTGAGGTGGGATATTTATTGCAGATGAGGGATTGTCTTGTAAACTGAAAAATCAGTTTAAGTCAGGTGTCTGAGTGAGTCTCTAGGTTTCATAAAGAAGGCAAGTTTTATTAGAATCAAGCAAGAGATACTAAAATTATCAACTGAAACCAGTGGTATTAAACAAGTGAACGAGCAGACAAACTAAGAACTATTATATGCCTCAGGGATTCCACAGTCTATATAAATATGCAGGTTCTAAAAACAAACACACCCCTACTGTAATAGATACTGCCTGGTCATTTTTCAAATAGTTTGGTATTGAATTTGAACTGAAAATTAAAAAAAATCCCCAAAATTAGTGATTTTCCATTTTGACTGCTGGTTGCCATGGCAACCAATATGCAAATCAACTGTTTGGAATGTTATATATATTATATATGGTCTTACATGTATAGAGGGTATAACAAGTTTTTATAACCAGGTCTCTCTATATCTGGTCTCAAAATTAGAAAAATGTGTAAAAGACAGAGTTATCTCCCTTTTTGAAAAAATGCTCATTATTTTTAATGATGTACATTTTTTGTCTTAACTAGACGGTGACTTGTTGATTTTATTTTTTATTATTTAAAAAGACTATTTCAGCAACAGAAAAAACACAAACATTAAAAAATCCTATATTAGGTTTCATGAGAAATTCTTCAAAAAAGACGGCTATGCATTCATTTCCCTATCATTTCTATAGTAATCTTGAATGAAAACCAATAAACTTGAACCCTTCAACAAAATTTAACTAGACGGTGAACCCATTTTTTTATTTTTATTTTCCACTTAATATATGATAAAGTTCATTTATGAAAAGTATTAGCCAAATCCTATATTAGATATTTATACCACCCAGCCACCTTAAAATCACTCTCTTTCATTATTTTGAATAAAGAATAGGGACATAAACCATAGTTTTATCTTCTGGTATCACCAGTTATGGCCCTGTTGAATGAATCAAAATGTATCATTCAACCACCAGCAATTTTTTTTTTAGTGAATAACATTGTTTACAATGTATCACCATGTGTTGCTCACTTCCTTTGTGTATTATTATGTCAAAATGTTTGTGCTTTCAATTTGTGAGCCAAATGTTACAAAATTTAATAAAAAATGTTTTTTGTCAACAATCTGTCTAAAAAGTTGTTGTTTCAAGATTGTCTTAATTTGCTAAACAACAACATGAAAGGTACATGTATAACTATTAAAACATGAGCCCTAAATCATAAAAGATCAAAAGATTGAAATTGATTAAATATTTATACCTAAAAGATTTGTTTAATGATACATATGTGAGAAAAATAGATAAAAAGTTCAAGAATAAATGGCCATTCGACAGCTGTTTTTATGGGTGAAGAAATTTGTTGAAGGGAAAATTCTCCAATCTTGCACATATTTTCTTGAAACTATTCCAATATCAGTAAAAGCTTTTTGAAAAACTGATTGCTGCTGAAATCATAACATGCAACTGATTTAGACCTACCTCTAAAATTGTAATAAGAAACTGACGTAGAGTAACCTATAAAATCATTATGTGAAACTGGTATAGACCTACCTTTAAGCTTGCCCAAGTTTCAGTGTTATGTTTCAAACCACTTATAAATTCTACAGCTATCAATTTTCTAATAGCTATCATTGAAGTTAGAATTAAATCTGACAAGTTGCATGGAAATATTTATGAATTTGAAAAACATGTATTTTGTTCTTCAATTGTGAAGTAATGATGCAGAAAAATTATTCACAAGAATCATTTTAATGCAAGATCAGATTTTAAAAAAGCAAGGATACAGTTTTTATGCATACTTTTTAACAACCGCTTAAGTCAGACTGAAATATATTTACATGTATGCTACAACTATAATGAAATTCTCATCTCTTTTTCAGTTACTTCTGTCATTCCAATCGCAGACATAAAGGGCATGGAAACAACAAAATATACAAAACAGGAAAAACAATTACGGTGTAAAGTAGCTTCATTATACAGAGTTGTAGATCTGAATGGGTGGAGTTATGGAATTTATAATCACATAAGTGTACGTATTTCATTATGATGCAGTTGCAAGAACATGATAAAGTATTGAATATTTTACCATATTGTACTTGTGCAGTACAGCTCCAGTCTTTCCTATTAAACGAAAATCCCACAACCCAGACAAATAAAAATATAGTAAAACTTACCTTTAATCTCTTAAAGAATTTCCGGCAGACTGCACTTTTTTGGGTTACATAATCGGTGGCATAAAAGAAGATAAGAAGTTTCTGAAGGAGACTCGAACAAGTCATTAACAGGGCTTTCATTAACTTTTAAGTAAAAGGCTAAACTAGCAAATCAGCCTTTTGCAATAATTTATTGTTTTCATAATCCTCTCTTACATCTTACTACAACATCCTGCAAGTCAGTTCATTGGAATTTATAGTGACATGGGAAGTAAGGTAGTCTGCATTGTCTTTATTTTTTATGAAATATTTTATGTTGGAATTGTGCATTTTTGCAATTTTTTTTTTATTTGAATATGAATTTTTTTAATGTTTTACATGAAGAATTTATATGCATCTTGTGTATAAATGAAAAAACACATGGTAGGAAACACTGTTGAAAACCTACAATATGACTTAACTATGAAAGATACATATGTGGTCAGGAAATGTTGATTTTACACCTCAGGATTTGACAAAGGATACAGAAATTGTAGGAAACAGGATGCAGTAAAGACTTTTAGTAGTTGCATAGCTTGAGAAACATTATGCTGACTATAGACAAACATTTGGGCAAAGTAATGGGCTTGTAACAGGTTTGCATTTCCACAAAGTGGAGAAATACAAATGACACTGAAGAAAAAGTAACATTATACGATTGATCCATAAAAAATATTACATTGAGCACTAACAATTGAGCTCAAACCACTCAATGAACCAAACAAAAAACTTTGATTGATTTAGGTGTTCTAGAAGAGTCAATGATTACTGTTCATCTAGTAGCACCTCCTGTAAAACTCCTTGACTGCTTGAGGATACATTACCAATGATAAGGACTCATGCAGTAGGGGATTGGTAACATCTCTTGAAACCAAAGACATGAATACCAAATTAATATATAGTAACATTTAAATCCCATAACACTGGTACATGGTCTTATGTGAAAGTTTAGACCTGTTCAATCAGTTCATATTCATAAGGTGATATGCACTATATATAAACTGTATAACAGGGTTTGAAATTAGCAGGAGCCCACTCGCCAATGGCCCCTAAAATTTGGTGTGGGCTACTGGAATTTCTGCTTTTCTTGTATAGGACTATTTATGTGGGCTGCAATATTTAAGCTGTGGGCTACCATGCCAAAATTTTAACTTCAATCCCTGTATAAAAATAGCAAGAGTTTTGTTATAGTATGTTTAATTGACATTTCAGGCAAGAATTAACCAAGAACATGAACACTTTTTAATTAATCCATTTGGAGTGTTGTATTCAGAAGTGACAGCATCATCATTAGTTAAAGTGGACATGCAGGGAGAAACAATAGATCCTGGATCAACAACATTAGGAATTAACAAAGCTGGTTTCACATTACACTCAGCCATTCATCAGGCTAGGCCGGACATTAAGTGCATTATTCATCTACATACACCGGAAGTTATTGCAGTAAGTTTATTTATTTAAAAAAATAGATAGAGATGATACCATAAGTTGGATGTAAAACTCGATAACCAAAAAAAAAAAGAGAAGAAAATACCACAGGCTAAAGTCTACCAAACACTACACAGAAAACTAAATGAGCAGCACTGACCTGACCAAAACCAGTTTTTGAACTCAGGTGCTGAATCTTGGAATAGTTGTGGTATTTAATCAAGATAAAAAAAGTCTGTGAAAAGACATGATTCTGCATAATACTCATATATTACAAATCAAAGCAAAGTCGTGGAAAAATCATTTGATTTCATTAAAAACAACTTGTACAAACCCTTCTTTTTCGACATTTGCTTTGCACTATTATCCTCACTTAATTGGTCAGTGCTCTCCTTTGATTACTTTTAGCAGTTTAAGTATATTTTGGGTAGCAACTAAAGTGTTTATACCTTATAGCATAGTCTAAACGGTCCCATCTCCCACATACAATGTTTATCCGTAACTTCTACAAAGGGACGAAACATGCTGGGGTTATCAATAAAGTACATAGTAACTGTTGAAGTACTCTCTCAAATTCTATCATTCATTAACTGACAAAGGACTATAACATGAAAAAAATTACAAATACAAAAATGCAGAAAAACACAGGGAAACTTCAATATCTTTGTACTTTCAGTACATGATGCAATGTAAGTGAGCTTAGAAAAAACATATGCTGTGAGTCAGATTTATATCTATGCTGTATGTTTTTATTTTTACAGGTCTCCACAATGAAATGTGGTTTTCTTCCCCTGTCACAAGAATCCCTTATAGTAGGAGATGTTAGTTTTCATGATTATAATGGAATTTTAGTAGATCAAGAAGAACGGGATGCATTACAGCGCAGTCTAGGACCAACAAATAAGGTAGAATTCACCTACATACATTGTTATTTAGATGTCAAATAAAACATTATATATTCCTTAACATCACTTCACTTTCACATGACAAAATAAAGTGTGTCAAATGATGATTGAGGCATGCATCTTTGAAATTTTCAGGACAAGATTTATATATACAGGATTTAGAAAACTATATGAATGAATTTTCACTTATAGATACAGTATAATGATTGGTATAAAATTGTTGCTTGTCAAGCAGGTGCTCAGGGATCTAACTTGGAATGAGAATGTAAGAGAATTTGATCTGAAAGTTTTATCAGATTTGAAGCAACTTATACGAGAAGGGTATATTTATTGTGTATTATTGTTATATAACATAGTACTATTACTTTTATAGTTATAATAAAAGTTTGATAAAACAGAAGTTAAAAATATTCTGTTGATATAAATTTCTTTTGATTACAGTTGACTAGTTGATAAGAATTATTAAACAGTCATTGTCCTTATAAAGATAGTTTTGATCATTCCTGTAGGCCTCTTTTTATGTCATTGCTCTACATGTGTTTATGCATCTTAGGCTTTCCAAACTGTGGCTTTGCACTATGATGATGGCAAGTGCTTTAAAAGCAGCATATTTGGCATGTTCAACTTGATTTGGGGACAAAAAATTATAAGATGGATACAGTGATTTAGAAAATAATTCATGGAAGCACTACCTTTAAAGGCTTGCATGTTCAATATTTTTTGGTTCTTCGAGTTTAAAGTATATTCATTTATGAAAAAAGATACAAACAGTAAACATGAATGAGAAAGTAACTTGACAGCGCATATGACCTGATGAGCATGTTTTAAGTTACCTCATAGTAAAAAAATTCAATTCAATTTATGTTTCATTGGTTGATACATTTTCTGTTACAGGTTATGTTTTTAAGAAATCATGGTGTAGTAACGTGTGGTTCTACAGTAGAGGAAGCTTACCATTATGCAGTTAATGTCATGTCAGCTTGTCTGACACAGGTACAACACTAACATTACAACTACTCTCTGTTCAAGTTCAATTTAATATTTATATGCTAAAAAAAATCAATAGTAATCTGTTTAAAGACAATTCAATTTTTATATGATTAAAAAATAAATGATGATAGGGTATATGTATCTTCATTGTCATTGTCCATCTGTTGACACAATAGTTTTTACAAGTAAATTAAATGTCCATACTTTCTCTTCTGATAATTATTAAATCAACCAAAGAAATCTCTGCATCCAAATCTTTAAAGGTGTGTATCATTACGATAAAATCTGAGGATCAAGAAAAGATCTAAACTATAAGTAGAATGGAATGGTGTTAGATCCTTATACTTGAAGTTTAAACACACAATCTGTTTTTCAATCAGTTTTAGAATATATTATACAATTATAGCCTTTGTATGAGGTTGATACGAGGTTATATCGACCTAAGAGAAGCATATTGACTGATGACGAAGTCCAAGGTCGATATGCTTCTTTTGGTCGATATAACATCGTATTGACCTCAACCAAAGGCTACAATTGTTATATTATTAATCAACAACTATTGCATGAACAATGTAAAATTGGGGATTTCTAGAATGTATTTTTAGTAACATGCTGTATGCCCCGTGCAATATGCTGTTTTTGACCTACGAAAAGCTAAACACAACAGTATTGGCGTGCAAACTCAGTAAATACAAATGTACATGTTATCAAGTTTAAACGAATCACAAAGCCTTAAAAATATTCGATTAATAATATAACTATACTGCAGCTGTGGTATTTGTGCAGTCAAATTGCATTGACCGTATAATCATTTGCGATATACAGTCACTGACCATATATCGCCTTGTTTATGACATTGACAATGCGTTTCTGTAGAGTTTTATTTATGACGTCATTAAAAGTACAGGTTCATGGAATTTTTACACCGTTCGCTCCAAATTAAAAAATGATGGTTTTAACCTTGAATATTTCGTTTGGAACAGTTGTAGGAGTTGCAGTATATAGAGAATAAACATGCATTGTCTCGAAATATAAATTTTATTTGTACTCGGCTCAAAACAGGATAGAAATGCTCGGCAAAGTATCACTTTCTACAATGCGTTTCTGTAGAGTTTTATATATGACGTCATTAAAAGTACAGGTTCACAGAATTTTTACGCCATTCCCTCCAAATTAAAAAATGATGGTTTTAACCTTGAATATTTCGTTTGGAACAGTTGTAGGAGTTGCATTATATAGAGAATAAACATACATTGTCTCGAAATATAAATTTTATTTGTACTCGTCTCAAAACAGGATAGAAATGCTCGGCAAAGTATCACTTTCTACCTGTTTCTAAGCCTTGTACAAATAAAATTTATATATCGAGACAATGTATGGTTATTCTATATTTAGACAACTGTTGAATTGTAAATTGATACTGAACTGCAATTGAAAGCTATGGCATGTGCAAAAAATAATCAGGTTCACTTGCACTTCTGTGTAAATTGGAACTTGAATTCAAATATGTTAAGTGTATATATATTAATAGCAGAGTAAAGTGAAAAATATTAAGTATTAGGTTGCTACCAAAAGATTTCATTCAGATTTAATTACATGCATTAACCTTTTTTTACATGTAAAGAAAACAAAAATTAAAAACTGGAAGATGGTACACTTTTTGGTGTAATCATTTTGTTTATTTTTATATTTTTTCTTAGACAAAGGCAGTCCCAGCTGGAGTAGATAACCTCATTTTAGTTAGTGAAGAAATAAAAAAGAGAACGTTCCAGGTTGGAAGCCAAGGTGGTGGTGGTGTAGACACAGGAGGCAGGAAATGGAAGCCTGGAGAATTAGAGTTTGAAGCTGTTATGAGACAATTAGATAATGTTGTAAGTTATATAGATATGTTGGTCTTTTCCCATTTTTTTTTAATAGAAAAAAATAGAAAGTTGTATTTAATAATAGTCTTTTATATTGATAATATTGAAAAATGTTAGTAATGCATGAAACCCATGATTGACTAGTAAATATGCATCTGTATTCATTTCAATAAAACATTTGAGGGTAGGTGGGCAAAGGGGAGACAATCCATTCTTTAATTATTTCCTTATACTTTTTCTAAAATGAATACTGGATTGCACATTTGCTCTACTAACAAATTATACAGATTTTACTTATTTATCAATGTAAGTTAGTTTACTTAATTAAGAGGGAAAATATTCAGTGACATTTTTCAACAATAAACAAAAAAGAAATTGTAATCACTTGTTTATGAATCAATGCTTTATTTGACTGTGATATTTGAGTTCTGATATTCTGTATACTTGCCTTATGTCATGGATATAAAATGACTTATTTCTTATTTTAGGGATATAGAACTGGCTATTTATACAGATTACCAGCATTTAAACAAGAAGTTAGGAAAGAGAAGAATAATAGCGATGTTGAAATACCCCCAACATGTAGCTCATTTACGTACATCATTGATGGTGACATAGAACACTCAAAATATGTGTAAGATTTCTCAGATATGTTGTTTTTGAAAATCACATTATATTTTTCACAAATTTTATCTGACCTTACGGTATGTCAAAACAAAATTTCATTCCATCAGATTTTGAATTTTAAATTTTATTGTTTACTACAAAAAAGAAAATGCAGTTCGGTCAGATAGAGCCTGGAAGAATTTCACCAAATAACAACATTAACATTATTGCTGAGGCATAAAGATTAAACCGTTCGTCCGTCTGTCCTGCTTCAGGTTAAAGTTTTTGGTCAAGGTAGTTTTTGATGAAGTTGAAGTCCAATCAACTTGAAACTTAGTACACATGTTCCCTATGATATGATCTTTCTAATTTTAATGCCAAATTAGAGTTTTGACCCCAATTTCACGGTCCACTGAACATAGAAATGACAGTGTGAGTGGGGCATCCGTGTACTATGGACACATTCTTGTTTAATAATTAACATAAAAATTGTTGCCAGAATTGTAAAATTTGTAAAGTGACTTTTCTGGGTACCAAATACAATGGACAGTTTAAGGTAGCACTACAGTCTAATGATGATTTTTTTAGTGAAATTTGTGTATATATATTATCTGGAATTTGAGAAGTTATAAGATGATAACATTGGATAAAACAAAAGTTATTCAGAAAAGTTGATATATATAAAATCTCAGCAGAGGTCTATATTTCACTCTTAGCTTTTCCTTAACATGACTTGATTCATTTACTCAATGAATTTATTTCAGATCACCTTTGAAGTTAGCTCGAGACAGACAGAAGCAGAATTACAAAGCAGGCTGGTTGGTTAACTCTCCTAACAATTATGTTAGACAAGAAGTAGAAGAAACTGGAACACAGAACCCTAAAAAATATTCAAAGGTATGGAGTTTTTATTTTGGCCTCAACAGAGACCACAGATGTAAACAATACACTATACATCTGGCAACAATGGATCTGGAATTTTTTTCACCATTAAAAGATTGTATTCTTTACCTACACAGTGATAAACAGGTATTTAGAACTGAGAGGTGTGCGGAAATTTTTTGAAGTAAAGTTCATTTTTTAAACTTGATTCAATCCAAATGGCAACATCAATGGCCTGTTTTTTTTTCAAATGTAACGTTCAATTAAATCTAATAGAACCTCTTTATTATGAGTTTGGTTTTTTGTACAAAGCTTTTCCAAACATGCAGTGAATGCACCATTCTCATCTAGATCTCCAGAAGAACAGCATCAGTTGTAGATAAAAAAAAAAAAAAGAGGGAATGCAATTGACCTGTTCCTTTTGGCAAATATTTCCAGTCCCACTTATTTGAAAATGACTCACTAATTTGTGTTTCTTTTTGTGATTAAATTATCTTTGATGTTTCATTTATATTTGTTCACAACTTGACCCTGCTGATTCAATCATATTAAAGCTTGACTTGGAAGTTATTATTCTTTCAAGGTCTATTTCATGTCAAAATTGAAACTTATTTTAGGAGACATAAGAAATATTATATATTTTGAAACAATTTAGACTTTGAAATTATTGTGATTTGTTACTGATAGTGCATGTTGTACACAAGTTTCAAATAGTTATAAACCTAGTATAAGTTCGGGTTTTTTTTCTTACTGTATAGATCTGTTTGAATAAAATACATTTAAAAGTAAAATAACATAAATACCAAACTCCAAAAGGAAAATTCAAAACCTTATCAAATGGCAAAATCAAAAGCTCAAACACATCAAATTAATGAAAAACAACTGTCATATTCCTGACTATGTACAGACATTTCCTTATGTAGAAAATGGTGGATTAAACCTTGTTTTATAGCTACCTAAAAATAAAGCACAAGTAAATCTCAATGATTGGACTTTACAGAAGTTGTTAAGCAGCAGTGTATTAATAGATTGGTAGTTCCTATTCATGACCTTTAACAAAAGTTAAGGTGATCAACCCTGAAGATACATGTATATGCAATTTGAATGATGGATTTTGTTTGACATGTTTATATAACAGAATCTTAATCCAAAATGCTGTTTTGGATGGTTTTGCATTATTGGGAAGTATACCCCAAATTTCCTTTTATTAATATACAAATTATGTTTTAATGAAGAAAACATATTTTCCAGTGGATACCAGAAGAAGATGGATCACCAAACAGAAAGAGTACACCAATTAAGATTGAAAATCCTAATCAGTTTGCACCACAGGGATCTAATCCCAAGGAGTTTAAACTTAAGCAGAAAGAGGTAAGGGAGATAATCTCTGGAATATTAAAAAGAAACAGAAAGAGATCAAGTGTATAAATATCAAATGCTTTATACAATGAATGCAAGAAAAAATTGAATTTTGAATGTATCAATTCATATCTGAATATTAATGTGGGAAATGTTAAAGTTTCAATTTACCAATGAAATTATTTCTATGATTTAACTCACTTTAATTCATTGTTTTTTCATTCATTTACCTTTGATTGATTGATTGTTGGTTGCTTAATGTCCAGTGGCAACATTTACATTTGAATGACATACTAAAAAAAAAGGAATATGAGTGAAGCCAAACGCTGACATCTAGAAAACTGTATACTGAATTTATGATACAGTTTGAACAATCAAATTGAAGCGATATGACCAGTACAAAATAAATCTGCTCCAGACCAATTTAATTTCACAAAAAATGCTGCTTTTGAGAAACTATAAATAAAAGAATAATAGGAACATCTAATATGAAAATTTGAAAATTGATGATGTAACAATAACTCATTGAAAAGTGAACAACTTGATATATGTTAGGATGGTTTTACTAAAAGTACTGTCAGAAGATACTTTAGATCTATTTTTTTCTCTAAACAAATTATCTGTAGATTTTTAAAATGTATCAAGAAAAAGTTTTCACTAATTACAATTTGTTAAGCTTCACAAATTATTTTTTTTTATATTCAGATTAGAAAAGATTACTATGAAGAAAAGATAAGTGCAGGACCTCAGTCTAAGATTTTAGAAGGTATTACTTGGGAGGAGGCGAAAAAATTACAGGTAAGGTGTATAATCCATGTGTGTGTCGTTTCATCAGAAGCTTTATTACTGACCTTCATACCATTGACTCCATACATGTAGTGCAGCTTGTTTATAACAACTGTATCTTGGTTTGTGTTGTTAGAGTCGAAATCATTTAGTATTCATTTTCATCATTGTATACTCTCATTTTCTAATTGCTTATTTGTAATTGGAATTTATTATAGTCTGGCAGGTGAAAGATTTTTAATTAATTTGAAAGAAGATTTACATTTTGTGATTGTTTTACATTAATAGGAACAATACAAAGTTTGATTTATATTTGTATGGGAGTAAAAAAAAAAGATTGAAGATAAGATTTTAAAATGTTTTATTTAAATGAGATTCCCACCTCTAAGAATATTTCGGTATCCAAATTTGCTAATTTTAGTAAAAATTAATACCAATCATTTGTGATTCAAGATGGCTGAATACTCCAATACAACTTAACAAATCATTTTATAGAATATTTGAAATTTTCATAGCTATTATATTGTTACTTATCTTATTCTAGACTGATGAACCTAAGTTAAGTATTTACAAAAGAACATCTCTAATTTTCATTTATTTCCATTTCTGGATTTGATGTGTCACTAATTTATTCTTTAATTGCATTTCATTCATCATTCAATTAAATTCAATTTCATTAAGTTTGTTTGAAGTGTTGTTGAATGTAATGTTGTGAGACACCTATGATGTGTATTTGACCAATATTAAATAAATGTTTGGTCTGAATGGTCTTGCTATTATTTTAAAACACGAAGGATTCTATTATTATGTAGAGAATACTTTTTAACACCAAATCGTGATATTCAATAAAAAATAATTTGTTTATAAAGTTACCCGAAGCCAATTTTTTACGAGAACATTTTAAAAGACCTTATAATAACAAGGTTTTGAGTTGTATTATTGCTTTTATTCAAAACCTGATTACTTTATTTAAATCTAATGATACTAGAACAATGTAGTCAAACTTGGAGGATAAACTGATATACTGAAGGAAAAGAATAAGAAAAAGACATTTATGTCCTTTACAGACTTACAGCTGAAGCTAGCCTCCGCATTTCGGGAATTTCTCGATGCGTTGAAGACCCATTGGTGGCCTTGGGCTGTTTTCAGCTCTTTGGTGGGGTTGTTGTCTCTTTGACTTATTCCACATTTCCATTCTCAATTTTATTTAATGTTTTGATAAAAGATTACACCAGTGAAAGAAATTTTTAAATTACTAGTAAACGAAGCAATACCATTCAGACCAAATGATTGTTGTTGTTGATTTGTGAATGATGTGATTTTTCTTGCCACAGGCCGAAGGAAAGCTTGTAAGTGTGGTTAATTTTACAGTTATCTCCCCCTTCTTTAGCTAGTATACATAATATTAAAGGGTGCAAAAAGTTACTTACAAATGTACCTTATGTTCTATTATAAAAATTTGTTTGATCAGTATTTTCTAATACTGCATAAGGATTGATGCTTAGTCTTTTATTGATTTTCATGGTTCAGAAACACCTTCAAATTTTTACTCAAGTATTTCAACAGTTTTATTGCTTAAATCATTTTTTTACTATGAAAATTGTGTTTTTTGTAGTATCAAATCAAGTCATTTTTTTACTATGAAAATTGTGTTTTTTGTAGTATCAAATCAAGAATTCTTAAAAACTGTTGGCATCAATGACATCAGAATAAGTTTTTTTCAAGTGAAAGCATCTGAATTGAAGTATACATAATTGTTGAAAATTTAATAGGCGGTCTTGTTGACATTAATTATTTTCAAGGTACAGTAACTTTTTCTGCCCTCTAGTATAAAAATCTAACCCTGGCATGACCTCACGTTAAATAAATATGCTTTTGATAATAAACATGTATACATTTGTAACTATATAAATATTTATATATATATGACTTTATTTGTATTGAATTATTAATAGATACCATTTTTTTATAAACTGCAGATTTGTATACAAGATGTGGTTTATTACAACAAAAAGTAATGCATTAATGCACAAATTTATAAAAGGGGTAAAATTTTAAATATAAAGAGGGCACATTTTGTTTCTTAGACTGGGACATTCTCTCATTTGCATATTTGTATTAACATATCTGTACTTCTATGATGTTTATGTGCTGGTGACCAGCTTATTAAATCAACTGATTACATACTAAATCATAGGTAAAAAGGATTAGAAAAAAATCAACGAGGACTTTCATTTAAAAATATCCTCAACCAAGGAAGGGAAATGGTAATCACTTCTTTTACTGTCTTAAGAATTCAACACGATTTTATGTACATTTATATTCATATCTATTGCAAATGTTATGCCTTCCTTGGGTTGTATTATTTTTAAAAGAAAAAGCCATGATATTGATGGGGGCAAATTCCAATAAATGCTACACATTAAGTGCTTGATTGAAATTTGGTTTTATTTTGCATTTTTTATGCACATAGGCCTGGTTGCATGTTATTTAAGTTTGAAAGGTAATTTGCATTATACTATGTGAAAAAGATAAATCACTCTGCAAGTAGGATTGAATCAACCATTAAGTAAGTTTTGTTGCTTATTTCATACAGACATTATATACCTGTATATGTAGTAAACTGTTTTGATGATGGTCATGTGTGTATGCATTCTGCTTTATGTGTTGGATGTCACTGAAACTGTAAATGAAAGTTTAAGTGTATCTAAATATCGACATTATTTTATTTGACAGGTGAAACAAAATAAAGGGGGGAAAATTTCCAAAAAAGATTTTTGCATTTAATAATATAAGAAGTTCAAAATTACCTCAAATTGTCTGATAAAAAAGACCACATCTACAGTGTGCACTGTCTGTCTGCAGTGAACCTTGGGTTCTATTGTACAATTGATCAAAGATTTACCGATGATGTACAAATAAATTTCCGTTTTTACTGTTAAAATTGACTTAAACTCAAAAACCAATTTTTCATACATTGAGCCTGACAGTTTCAAAGTGTACGACCCAATTGAAAAGAATGACTTTAACAATAGGTTTCCATGCAGACAGACAGTATATAATGACACATATACATATTTATTACTTAGTTGTCATATTTCACATATTTAACATTTCATTTTATAAATCATATTTCACTCAACATTTAACATTCATTACATTTTAAGTAATATGTGTGTTTTTCATCACATGAATTCATTAATATTTTACATGTAATATTTAGCATTTTTATTGACAATTTATTTTTATCATCCATAACTTTTAAGTATATTTTAATTTTACTCTGTTGTTTCACATGCTTTTATATGAAAAATAATTAGGGAAAAGTAATCATTTTAAAGCACCAATCAATTAATACTTTTAACTTTAATTTTAAATGAATGGATTGATATCTGTGCAGAGATTTTTTATTTAATATTCATTGGCACTTTGTGGATATACATGATCCTTGTGACAGTGTGTTTAAGAAAGAATTGATTTCTCAGATGTCAAAGCCTTAAAATGCAATGAACTCATACACATTTACTTAATCATGTCTTTGCAATGCAGTGCTTGCAAAGTCTTAATTTTACATGAATTATTGGAAAAATCAAATGAAAAAAAATTTAAAAAATGATCCTTTGCTTTGGTTACAGTATGTTCACCTCTTGTACACATGGTATTTCCTTCAATAGACTCCCCTGTTTTTCACTTCTTAAATTACCTATACATTTGTTTACAATGAGAATACATCTTCAGATGACCTATTTTTGTTGGCATTTTGTTGAATACAACTTTTCAAAGTATATTTTTGGCTTTGGTTGACCAACTTGAATCTCAAAAAAGATTCATACTGCAGCTTTATTATGATAAATATTTTTTTTAACAAAGATAATTTTACCTGAGTGTAGAACTTTATTTAGTAGTTTCAGATATTCAAATTTTCTATACACCTTATCGCTATTTAGTCCAATCCGGAAAAAACAGTCAATTATACAACTTCCTGTTTGGGTCAAGTCTTGCAAAAACAAAGGTCATCAGTAACGAGCTAAGGAGGGAAAAACTTTAGAAAGCAAACATTTTGAAACTTTGATATAGTATGATCCACTTTTTTAAAACACAAATTAAAGTAATAAAAATGCTTTGTTTGAAGTGTTTACGATGGTTTAAACATTTCTCTTTGAAAAGTTTTATGCATAATACATTGTTGAAACAAGGCCCCAGATAGCTTCAACTAGATGAAAAAGTGGTATAATTTTAGAACTTATCCTGATTTGAATAAATAGTGATAAGGTGTTTTCCTATGGACCCCTGCAAGACCAAACTCAGACAAGGATTTGAAAACTCAATTGAAAGTAAAATAAATCTGAATTAATTGAAGATATATTGAATTACAGGATGGAGACTTGAGTATGGTTGGGGATAATGTTATAGTATATGGTGCTGCATCTAAAGGTATCATCCAGAGAGACCAACAACATAATGTACAGGTGTATAAAACACAGTATGCTGCCAATCCCTTTGACAGTATCAATGAGGAGGAGATAGAAAAGTACAAGATTGAGGTCGAGAATAGAGGCAAAGGAGAACCAGGTTTGTTTTTCAGGGGTTTAAAAACTGCAGTTGATAAGTAAGAAGATGTGGTATCATTGCTAATGAGACAACACCAGAGAACAAGGATGTTAGCAACTATAGGTCTCCATACAGTCTTCAACAAGGAGCAAAACTCATATCAAATAGTAAGCTATAAAAGGCATGGACATGACAAAATGAAAAATTATTCAAAATAGAAAACCAACAATCTGAGTTATTCTACAAATAATAAACAAAAATAAATATGGTAGACAACAACCACTGACAACACCTTAAAATACAGGCTTGAGACAGGCACATAAAGAATTTCACAAAACAGTCACCACTTACATACTTCATTGTATTGTTCCAAGTGTGACATGTAGTTGTTCTTCTGGAAAATTAGTCATGACTAGAGTAAAAGCATATTGTCAAAATTTTCTACATAATATGTAACTTTTAGAAAAGATGAAAAAAAAAAGTACAAAGGTGGTTGAATAAAGTCAGAGGTGAGATCAAAACAATTGTACAATGCATGATAACAGATTTTTAGTGCATTGTAATTTTGTTATACTGGAGACGAGTCTCTGTTGACGAAAGGAAAAGAATCTAGTCCACATATTTTAGATAAAATAATCTTTGCAAGCAGTACCAAAGAAAGCTTTACACTCCAACTATTTTTTTTAAGAGTATATTCTCTTTAAATCTGAACACTGACATGTTAATTAGATTGTCTATATTTTACTTTGAATTAGCAGTAGAAGAAGATTTGTCACCAGGACCTGATGGTAAACTGATATCTACAATGGAACGTATGCACATCATACAACAACAACAAGTAGATGATACACCAGAACCTAAACCAGAAGTAGAGAAACCAAAACCAGAAGGTAATTTATAGCTTTTGTTGTATTATATTACCTGTTTTTATCTTATAAGAGATTGTTCCTCTTCAAACAAACAGAAAGTTATGAACTGACCTAACATATGGTTACTTTGGTTGCATCTTAACAAGTTTTGTGAGTCTCTGTGCATGTTTGAAATGTAGACGAGCCAATCTGCTTTATTTTTTGACAACTAGGATTTTTTTTTAACAGAAGCCTAGTAGAGTCATTTCCATGCAAATATGGGTTTTGTCTACTGGTATAATACTGGACATCTAAAACTGGTCTGGATATAATATTTTTTTAATTACACTAACCTAGTAAAGTGAAGCTTGAAAGTTTTCCCTTAATTTTGGTTTTAACAAAATGTCTTTTGAACTTGCATGTTAATATCCAGTTTCAGTCCAGATGTAAACCCAATACCCTGTGAAACAATTTTAATGTCAAAATGACAGGATAATAGATATATTTGAATATGCACAAACTAGAAATTGCTGTTTGTTTGGATAGGGAAAAACTTTCACATGTTTTGATGTTGTTTAAATGTTGCTTGTTAGCATAGATCCTTAAAAAAAGTTACTGCAGTCTTAGTGTACATAAAGTATATTTTGGAAAAGGTTCTTTATTAATACAACTTCTATTATTAATATAGTGCTGCTGATTAATAAGCTTTTTCTTGAATTAATTCACATGTGAATAAGGAAAAAGAGTATAAGAATTCATTTCCAAACTGCTTTTCAATTAAATAGTACTGTGTATTTTTTTAGTGTGACTTTTTAAGATACTTTTCTGTGAAAACAAATTTGCAAGAAAAAGAAGACTGTGTATTTACAATCATCTGATTCCCTTTTTTCAACCTCTGATAAATAGAGAATATCATATGGCTTTTCCAATATCACATCCGTATCAACCCGAGACACCAATATAATCCTAAGAGCTCTGCTCGAGGGATTATATTGGTTGTGGGTTGATACGGTGTGTGATATTGAAAAAGCCATATCATATACACTTTATTATATACATATGTACCTCACGTAGAATTTTTTATGTGACATGACGTCATACAGATGAGGTTTGAAATGACGTCATACAGATTCCAGGTTTGACATGACGTCATACAGATTAGGGGTTTGATAAAGACTTAACAACAGTGACTGCAATCGATGACGCGACGTCATACAGATTAAAGGTGTGATAAAGCCTTTGCAACCGTGCTGATATCGATATCATCACGGGTGGCTGATACAGCACGCTTGCCAATGATTGTATTACACATACAATTTATCTGTATTTACTACTAAGTATATAATAAATTAATGTATTTCTTCATGCATATATGCACACAAAAAAATAAAAAAAATATTTTGAACATATAAAAATTTTTGTACACTTATATCTGTTTGTTAGCCTGAAATCAGGTATGAATAACACATTTTAAGATTAGATACCTTTTTTTTTTTCAGAAAAGATATTAGTTTTTATGTCATTTTCATTTGGAAATTTATCAAGAAATACTTAATGTTTGATGATGTATTTTTTCAAACTAACTTTTATTTTGGTGTGGTTAATACTAAAAGCCTATTGCCCCTCACCGCAAAATGATTTCCTCATGAAACTACTTCAAAATTATAACAGTCAATCTTAATCTTGTACATTTGTCACACAAGGCAATTACGGAGAAGCATTAAGTTCAACTGTGTATGCGCATGTTTTATTTTCATTGTTACTGCATGTTTGTGTAGTTCCTGTAGAAACCAAACGTCAGTCATCTAACACCTCCCGTAGTGAAGAAACAACCATTGATGATGTGTTTCAATCTAACTACCCTCCTGTATCACCTGTATCACCTACAGAAAACAAAGGTAGGTTCAGGTATTTTGTACAGGTATACCAGCAATATATTTTATCTATCATAAGTGGGAACTCTTGAGGTCAAATTACATTTCCTTTTATTTAAAAGCTATGTGATATATTTGATTTGAAAAATTATTTTTCTGTGCAGTTATGATTAAATTTGAGTTATTTTTTGTCACTAGTACACATGAAGTAGTACAAAATTTTATTGTAAAATTAGCTGAATTTGTCATAATTTATATTAAATAGAATGCATTATTTCTTTTTGCTGTAGATGCTTAAGTTGTGTTCATAGAAATCTTTGTTTATGTCAGTTGGAAGTCTTCACCTTGCATTTTTTTTCATGTGCAAGATATTGTTTTCAAAGTGTTCTATCGTGACACTTATCAGTGCATAAGCTTGCATACCTTTGTTAACAAGTCCAGTAGACCTTAAGAGTGAATAAGCCCATTGAGAACCCAGGTTTAAGAAATTTCTTGATACTTTCTAATTCTTGTAGCAAAAACATATTAAAAAAGCAGAGATAAGATACCAGTGATTGAATTTAAAGCAAATACCAGAAATCAAAATTGATTACATTAATTCTGAAAATGCCATTTTGTTTTTGACTAACTGTGCTAAAGATCATTATATTGCACTACAGTACAGACCCTTCCAGGGCTGTTCCATATCACTATTCAAGTAAAAATATGGATGAAAAATAGCTTATTACACTTTGTCAGCAGAAATTGGCAGGTTTCAACTGACATGATCAAGGTTTTTATGTGTCTAGCTCATAGCATGCATTTTTTAGTCTTTTCTTTTATTCTGTCTTTAATTTCAGGTTTTATGTTTGAAGTTGTTATAGATTTGCTTTTTTTTAACATTTTATTTTTGCATTTTCTTAGTTATGTCTCGGAAAAAGAGACCTTCTAAAGAAACAAACATAGATGATATATTTGATGATAAGTATAACGGTGTGTATTGTTGTTAAAACATGTTATCACTCATCAGCCAGATCAGTAATATTATAATGGTTAGCCTAGAAATTCACTTTTTTTTTAATTTAAATTTTTTTTAGGATAAATATATCAAAAGCTCACTTTTTGCTGAGTTTTACACATGATTGGACTATTTGTAATTAAAGTGTCTCGGAAAGTTTTCTGATAATCTATTTTATTGAAATCTTCTGGTCTTGTACATTAATTAACTAACTTGTTTTGGAGATGAAGCCAGATTTTCAGAATTGAGCTAGAAGTTTCAGAGATATTTATTTTTACTGTTTAAGTAATGTCAAAAGAGAAGAAATGAATAACAAAAATTTGCAATAAGGTTGTTCTTTAATCAAAATGAAGGTTTTTTTTCTCTATCAAATAGAGTTTAAAGAATTTTGTTACAAGACACATATAAACTCCAGGTATATCCATAAAAGACTTATAAGCGGTTGTATTATTTTGTATTCTTTGACATTTACTCAGGAGTAAATATTTCAAATTATAACATTTTCTATATATTTTATAGCAGCTTCTTATCAATTCTAATGCTTTTAGATAATGTATTCTGCAACAGCAAACACATTCAGGAATTACTGTACAGACATTTTGACATAGAAAAATAGAAAATTTTAGAACCAGAAAAATAAATTTGACAAGGAACAATATAAAAATAAGGAGATGCAGTATGATTGCCAATGAGACACTTGTCAACCAGAGACCAAATGACCTAGATGTTAGTAATTATAGGTCACTGTATGGCTTTCAACATTCAACTTTTCTTATCATCATAGACTTTCAAGGCAGGTAATAAGGAGATTGTAAAAATATGATTCATTAAAACAGCCTACTGTTTAAGATTTTAAAATGCCTTTGTGATTTCTGACTGATCTTAAAACCCCAGATATGATCAATCGCAATACAAAAATGTAAAATACCATTTAGTATTGAAGGATAAGTAAAATTGTTGATCTTCAAACTTGCATGATTACTGATCTGGCTTAGTCATCATGGTGTGAAGGTATCCACATGGTCTTGGTGTTGTTAACAAACAGTCTTAGTGTGTAGAGTTAACAGATTTAAGGAAGTTAGTTTAGGTTAGCACAGACACAGATTCATTAATCAGTTAATAGAATGGCACTGTTTAATATCTATTTTTTTACATTGATAATTCATTGGGGCTGTAAGTTGTTCTCCCATGCATTCTGTTGTGTAGGGTTTGTTTAATATTTAAATCCTGCATGTTGATTCCTACAATTGAAAAAAAATCCTGTTAACTTCAGAAATCATTTGATTTAATACTATACTTAGGTATTGTGGATGTATTTATTTTGGTGGGTATTTTTTTTTTTTTTTTTTGTGGATAGTGAGAAAATTGAACATTCTTGGATACTTGATTTAATGGTTTTGTAAAAACCCCACATATAAAATGAAATCCACAAAAATTGAAGTCCAACAAATGATAAAGAACCCACTGTAGTAAGTTTAAAATATTCTCTGATATTTCATAAGGTATTGATGTGGTATGAGTTTCTTCATGTTAAATACCTACATGTAGAAAACTCTCATATTTATGAATAGTAATACCATGAAAAATCCAGTAGTCTTTAGTTGAAAGTTTTCATACCAAACTACAATAATAGGGAGCATAATGTTCTCTTTCCATTTGTCCATACCATATGAGTTAAAGTTTTTTGTTAAGGTAGTTAACTATGTAACCATGGTTACATCAATTTAAATCAAGTACACATGTTTACTATGATGTGAACCTGGTAAACTATACCAAATAGACCCTGATTTCACTGAATATAGAAATGTTATTCTGTGAAATACATGCATTATCATTATCACGATTTTGCCTAAGGTAGTTTTACCATGAAGTTGTGGTTTCCTCAACTTGAAACTTAGTATAAACACATTTATTGTGAGATGAATTTTAAAATTCAATGCCATATAACAATTTTGACCCCGATTTCATGGTTTACTGAGCATGGAATATAATATTGGGGGCAAAGCATGGCGTTCAAGGGACACATTTTTTATTTATATGTTTGATTTTTCCAATATTTCACATGTTGTGAGATGAATAACGATGCAGAAAATTGAGGCCTATCAATTTTATACAAGTGCAGCTATCTAAAGTCTCATTACAATTTTAATGCTATCAGCAGAGCTGACCAATTGATATCAAGGACTAATGTTTCAGAATTGCAAAAGCACTTTTTATTAAAAATATTAAGCACTGCTCAAATTTTGTGTTTTTTGTGTATTCAGTATTGCAATCTTTTTATTATATTCTTTTCTTTCTTAAACTCAGAACTAGTCAGTTCATCCAAGGAAACATTGATAGATGATGTGTATATAGAATCTCAAAAATACATAGGTAATTGTTTGATGTAAACAAAGGTTATAGTGGTGACATCTTAGGCAAGGATAGAAATTCTTTGTTTTATAGATCTATAAATTTTTGTAATGCATGATTTACATGTTTTTCCTTATATGATAAAAGTTACAAATAACTCATTGGTGTGGAGGGGGAGGTCAAGTGAACTTTTAGGACCTTTATACTGTAAAACAAAGAATTAGATTGTGGAGTTTTTGTTTGGATTTGCACACTTGGTGTTTTTGATTGCAGTTTATAAGTCACGAAATAAAATCACATTATATACCTAGTGAATACAGTTAAGTTAAATGGCCAGATTGCACATTTGTATTTTGAACAAAATAAGGTATAAAGAATCTTAAAAAAACTGTTTGTGAAATTTTCAGAGAAACCACCAGCAGTCAGGAGGAGTTCTTCAAATAGAGAACCCCCACGTAGTCCTGCATGTAAGCAATCCATCAAAATTTAAATATTTTTAATATTGCTTTTCAAAATAATGTTTAGTAAATATTGACCTTTAACTGAATTATTTAGCAAGTAATTGTTTTACAACAAACAGAGATACATATTGATAATTAAGTGAATTTCATATTGAATAATCTTTGAAAAAGGCATGAAATTTTTATGATAACAGTTGGGGAAAAAATTCCAGTTTATATTTTAGAAAGAATAAATAAAAGAAAACATGATTTATATACAAGCTATTTCATTTGTAATTTTTAAAGCATAAATATTTAAATTGTTAGTAATACAAGAATTAAAAGAGAAGAGTTTTGAGAGATCCAAATCAGAACGATATGGGCGTGGTAAGATACACACATTAGTCATGTTAGTGGTAGTGGGACACCTATACCCAAGATTTTACTCCTAGCTTACCACACTATGTGGTCTAGCATCATTTAATATATATATACATGTACCAATTAACCTGTTATACCTTTGATAGCTTACATCTATTTTTCAGGGATTTAACATTTTTTTATAAATTGACTGCTAGCTTCTGAATTGAACCTGCATAGGTTTTTTATGAGAATAAAATGTTGTAGAAGATTGCTTATTTAAGTAATATTTTAATGGGAAAGAATTAAAGCATATCTAATTTATCCATATATCTAATTTTCATTCACAGTTAATATGCTGTTGACTATTTAACTCTACCTGTGAATAAACAAAATTGTGAAAATGTGTATAGTCCTGACATTGAAACGATGTGGTATGGAAATATATTTTTTTCTTTTCTGATTAAAACTCAGCTCATCTTTCCTGCTGTTCTTTTTCACTTTTATGTACAGTTTTATGTTTTCAGAAATTTTTTATTTCAGAGTTTTGGTGAAACCAGTGACCTCATTTTTTTTTTTTCGTGTAAATTATTATTTTTAATTTTTGCTTTGTTAATTTATTATACAGGTATTATATTTATTTTTAATTTCTATTTCTATTAATTTTTTTTGGTTGAAAAGCTTAAATACAAAGATGCATTTATATAATATGTAAAATTCTTATGGTCTATGTGTTAGTTTTAATATTTATCAGATTTAAGAAATGTTCCATTTATTATTAAGGCATATTACGTATAGAGCTTACTTGTTATAAATCAGTTCTGAATGAAAAGCATTAAGTAAAATTCACGTAAAGAATTAAAATTTAAGGTTGAATATTTGAATGCTGGTAGAAAAGTTGCCCTTTTTTGTCTGAAAATGTTTTATTTTCATGAAATAAATATTTGTTTGCTACATAGATACATAAATCTGTAACAGTCTAAAAAAAAAGTTTGTTTTAGTAAATGTATGATTTCGTTCATTGGATTAATTTGTTATTTTTTATTTTAGATCGTGTTCTAAATGGAGATGAGAAGCCATCTTCCCCAGCCAAGTCTGATACCCTCAAATCAACAGACAGTGCCAGTGGTGGTGATACTCTAGAAGAGAGGAGTAGTAAAGAGGTATGTCTATATTCAATCTCTGAAAATTTAAACTTTCAAATAGCATTATCAGTTGAATTTTTTATTCAAATATCAGGGATGACAGGTCTGCAAAATGTCTATAAAAAATTAGAAGATGTGGTATGATTGCCAATAATACAACTCTAAATTAAAAACCAAATGACAATGACGTAGAAGGTCAGGTTTTTGTACGACCTTCAACAATCAGCAAAACCCATATCGCATAGCAAGCTATAAAAGGCCCTGAAATGGCAAATGTAAAACTATTCAAACAAGAGAACTAACTCTCTGATTTATGTTAAAAAAAAAATATCAAAACACAAATATGATCAACAGCAACAAAAGACTACTGAATTACAGACTTCTGACCTGGGACATACAAGGTTAAACATGTTTGTTGGCACCAAACCTTCCCTAACTTGGGACAGTGATATAACAACACAAGCATAAGAACAAACTATAAATATCAGTTGAAAAGGGCTTAAATCCAATGGATACAAATCACAAAACACAACTAACAAAATCACAAATAGACACAAAATGCAGATCTCAGAGTACTCACAGTTACTGAAAGCTTGTTCAAAGCCAAAAACAACTAATAAGAAAATCATGTATCTAAGACTAAAATATAGATCAGTTCACATCCTACATCCAATGGATTAAGTGTAAAGATGCCAGTAACAGTCAGAGTAAAACTTAACCTTGTGCAATGCCAAAATATAGGTACAATTTATCAACAGACTGTAGGACCGTAGATGTACATATGAGTACAGCAGTAATATAGTTAGTTGGGTTTTGATTTATTGATAACAAAATTAATATTTATACTGTTAAAGCAAAATTGAAAGATCTTATTACTGTGTTAAATCAGTAACCTTTTAGAATAGATTTATTTAAAGGAATGATAAGTTTACCCTGATCATATCTAAATTTTTGGACTTGGTAAACATCACCTTAAAAATAAGGATATGGGTACAGCCTGACTTCCAAACCAAATCATAGTATCTATAAAAGAATTTAGTAAAGGTTGTAAGTAATTTATGGAAACAAAATTTACTTTTTGAGGAAATATCAAAACTTGATGTTTTTATTTTTATTTTTTAGGGATCTCCTGTGAAAGAACTTCCATCCCCAACAAAAGACAAAAAGAAGAAGAAAAAGTTCAGAATGCCATCATTCTCAAAAAATAAGAAAAACAAGGAGAGCAAAGAAAGCACATTATAAATAGAACTATTTGCAAGCCATGTGATGTTTCGTCCTTGTGTTTCGTTAGTGTTGCATGTTGGGAGAATTTGTATTTGTAGGGCATGAAAAAATATGGTCGTGTGTTGGTTCCAAAGTGGAAATATAAGCAGTTTTAAAAACTGAAAACTTTAATTTTTTTTTTCTTTCGATGTTGTTCGATTGACAAAAAAAAAAGAATAAATTTATTAAGCTTGGCCTTACAGATAACAAAACACGCGGACCAGATAAATGCTTGTAACATTTGCTTGCCATGGTGTAAAAAGTTTTAAGAAATTTAATATTCAATTTTGATTATGTATTCTTACTTAGCCTTTCTTTGTATAAACAAAGTTCATTTACTCTTTAGAAACTGCCTGTTGAAAATAGTTTGTAATTTATATCAAAGTAACATGTACATTAAGCCTAGAAACCAGCATGGATGAATAATTTTGATATTTTTGTTTTTAGAATTTTTTATGTTTCACTTTTTGCATTATATCTTGATCATCCCTGTGCCATCGTCATGAATGAAGGTGTTACGTGAATTAGTGCTCACGGTTTATTGATATCTGCTGATTTGATTTGCATTAAATTTCATATATTTATTCGTCTGACCCTGGAAATTTGTTAAGCTGAAACTTTGCTAAGAGTAAATTTTCAGACCAAAACCTTATTCATGACACAAATAAATTTCTTTTTTATTTGATAAAGTAAATAAAACTTATTAATGATTTAATTTAGCAAGATGTATGCTAGCTATACAGCATTGTATTTGATTTCAAAAATCTTTTCACAAGACTTTTTCTGAGGGATTTCAAAGTAGTACAAAGGGCATGATTTATTTACAGCAGTACTTTTCATAAGAGCAGGTTGTATTTTTATTGTTTAAAGTTAGTTTTATTAAATGATTAAATTTTTATTATTGTTATTTTATCATTTGTTGAACTGCTTGTGTGTGCAATTGTCTCATGTTTTCATGTCTTATTTTCAGTTTTCGTTTCATGGAAATGTCATGATAAAATATGTTTAATATGACACTCTGGGTATTTAGTTTTGCTATAAATGATACAAAGAGTTAATACAAGCAGGTGTAAATACATTGTATGGGATTGTTAAGGAAATATATCAGAAATAAAAAATGAGCAGTGTTGGAGACAATCAAATTATTCAAAATTGATAGAAACCTGTTGTGAGCAATTTTCCCTTTTTATTATTCAAAAGGAATCATTCATTCTGTTTTCGCCTTATAGGAGAATTATGCATTTTATACAGAAATTAAGATGCAGAAGCATAAAATGCTAACATATATGATGGTTTAATTTCACTAAATTGGAGAAAAAATGCATGTTTACAATTTTGTGTACATTGATTTTTTTTCTCAATACTGCTCGAAATCCGGAACTGAATTGCTCAGTAGAATTTGAAACCAACTTGTAGGTTTAGAAATAGAGAAAAAAAGTTGTATGTAATACATTCTCTTTGTATCTATATTGTACAAATACTTAGTTTTTAGAACCTTGGCATAATATAACTACATACAAAAATTTACTAATAATTTCGATAGTGCAATTTTTTTTTATATAATTTGACACAAATATTGTTTATGTAGCAAATAGGTTGACAGTTTTCACTACATGGCATTCTTTGTAAACACAGGACAGGGGCATGCTTTCTAATTTTTGAAGGAATTAGGGCATTAGATGTAACTTTACAGCCAGAAAATGAGTTTAACACTTGCTAATCCATTCATACTTCATAACTGAAAATAATCAATAAAGCTGTCTCTTCAGAGAATATGTCTCTTCTTTCAAGTTTTGGATATCTTTTGTCAAATTGAAAGATTTCAGTCATATAACTTTTTCAATAATTATGAAAATTACAGAAGTTGAATAAAGATAATTTTATGTCATTAGGTTTGTTTTATTCATAAGTTTTTAGTAGTCCCAAGGCATTTATATATTAATGCTATTCATGTTGCACATATAATGCAATATTTACATCGTTTAATACATGTACAAGGTATATTAATAGATTTGCATTCATTTCATTCAATCAGTGCATTCTTAATGCATATTATTATTATAATTAATTTAAAATAGATTGAAAATAGGAAATGAAATAGTCAATATAAAACAATGTATGTTTCAATGTTGGACAAGTTGCAATTATCTACGAAGGGAAAATTATTTTGAATGTATTGTTAAGAATTAAATTAAAAAGGAATTAACCAATTACTTTCCTAAATTCTGTACAAACAATTTCATTTTGACAGAAATAGTTTTCATAAACCAAAATATGAATGTTGTGTAGTAAAATATATATATTGTAAACATTATATGTCCTTTTATCTACATCCTGTCTGTATAAATTATATGTAACAAATTTTAATACAGCTATGCATTTTTTTAAAGTTTATTTTCATTTTTATCCATCTATAAACTGCCTTTTTAAAATTGATTGTGTATGCACTGTTTAAGGGAAAGAGTCATAATTTAGAGAATCTACAAATTTTTTCCTACAAGATCTGAAAATATGAAAAAGATAAACCTGTAAGCAAATAAATGTCATTTTCTATATGTATGTTTGTTGCAATTGTCTTTATCAAAGATAAAAAGTGAAAACCTAGTCATTACCTGTAAACAATTGATTTAATATTATTTTTGCTGAAATAAAACAAAAAATTAGCAAGTTTCACAAAATTTATATTGAATATTATGCCATGTTACTTTTTAGTTGCTATACTAAGACTATGCTTATTTTTCATGTATGTCTGAATGCTTGCAATAGTCATCTTCATGCAGTGTTCAATAAAGGAATCCATACTTCACTGTATTTGTTCAGTAATCACTAGCCATTTGGATTAGAATTATCTTACTAGTGCAGAGTATCGATTTTGGGGCAGGTGCACTAATATGGCCTTTTAAAGCTTGCTGTGCAGTATTGGCTTGGCTCCTTATTAAAGGCTGTACAGTGACCTATAGTTGCTAACATCTACTTCATTTGGTCTCTGGTGGATAGTTGTCTCATTGGTAATCATACCACATTTCCTTATTTTATATTCATAGTGTGGGGAACCTATTCAAACCCAGAGACGTCCTCAGTTGTCTCATTGCAGTTTGATCGCCTCAAAAAGAGATCGGGGGCCTCGTTGGCCGAGAGGTCTAAGTAGTTACTACTGTAATCACTAGCCAGTCAACACTGAGGTTGTGAGTTCGAACCCCGCTCGTGCAGGTGCACTCGACTCCAATCTTAATTGACTAGGATTGTCAGTTTTCCTATCGAAGGTCATGGTTTTCTCCGGGCATTCCGGCTTCCTCCACCATTAAAAACTGGCCGCCACGAAATAACCCAAAAGCGGTGCTTAATAGTGGCGTAAAAACACCAAGAATAAAAAAATCAAATCAAAAAGAGATCACCAATAGCATCTCTGGCCAGGTCAAACCAAAGACTAAAAAATTGGTATTTGCTAAAAAAGCAGCATTCAAATTTGCCACTGGACATTAAACAGCCATCCATCATCATCATCAAATCAATAGCCTTCAAACTTCTAGAATGTTTTTATACGACGTTGGCGTCTTCGTCGTTGTCATCGTCGTCCGAAGACACATTGGTTTTCGCACTCTAACTTTAGTTTAAGTGAATGGATCTCTATGAAATTTTACCATAAGGTTCAATACCACAAAAGGAAGGTTGGGATTGATTTTGGGGGTTATGGTACCAACAGTTAAGGAATTAGGGGCCAAAAATAAGCATTTTTGTAACTTCCAGACATAACTTGTGTGTTAGTGTATGGATCTCTCTGACATTGTACCACAAGGTTCCATATCACAAAGGGAATGCTGGGATTGATTTTGGGGGCAATTGCCTCAAAATATTAGGAATTGGGGGCAAAAAAGGGGCAAAAAACAAGCATTTTTCTAGTTTCATGACAATAACTTGTCTGAAAATGTATGGATCTTTCTGAAATTGTACTACAAGGTTCCATATCACAAAAAGAAAGCTGGAATTGAGTTTGGGGGTAATTGCCCGAAACGTTAAGCAAAAAGGGGCCAAAAATAAGCATTTTTTCTAGTTTCCAGACAATAACTTGTGTTCAAGTGTATGGATCTCTCTGAAATTGTACCACAAGGTTCCATATCACACAGGGAATGCTGGGATTGATTTTGGGGGTAATTGCCTCAAAATTTTAGGAATTGGGGGCAAAAAAAGGGGCAAAAAACAAGCATTTTTCTAGTTTCATGACAATAACTTGTGTGTAAGTGTTTGGATATTTCTGAAATTGTACTACAAGGTTCCATATCACAAAGGGAAAGCTGGAATTGAGTTTGGGGGTAATTGCCCGAAACGTTTAGGAATTGGGGGCCAAAAAGGGGCCAAAAAACACATTTTTCTAGTTTCCAGACAATAACTTGTGTTCAAGTGTATGGATCTCTCTGAAATTGTACTGCAAGGTACCATACCACAAAGGGAAGGTTGGGATTGAGTTTGGGGGTGATGAATCATAAGGGGTTCAAAAAATTTGGGGGGGGGGGGGGGGTTTCCTTTTTTTTCTTTTTTTCCTTTTTTTTTTTCTTTTAAAATTTTCCATTTTAAGTTGGTTATTTCTGATTTATATTTAAAAGCAAATAATAATGATATGGTAGGAGATACACACCAAACAGGATGTGTAAATTATTATATAATAAGTATTGTGCAATAGCAAGAAATTTTCAATTGCACAGTATTGCACAATAGCAAGAAATCTTCAATTGCACAGTATTGCGCAATAGTAAGAAATCTTTAATTGCACAGTATTTCGCAATAGCAAGAAATATCCAATAGCACAATATTGCGCAATAGCAAGAAATTGTCAATTGTGCAGTATTGCGCAATAGCAAGAAATATTCAATTGCACAGTATTGTGCAAAAGAAGATACTATGTATAAATTGCTTATTTCTTGACCAATTTCAATGGGGTTTTATTCTTGAATTCTTGGGGTTCTTTAATATGCTGAATCTAACCGTGTATTAAGATTTTGGATTTTGGGCCCCATTTTTAAATTGGTCCACATTGAGGTCCAAAGGGTCCATAATTAAACTTTGTTTGATTTCATCAAAAATTGAATTAATGGGGTTCTTTGATATGCCGAATCTAACCGTGTATTTAGATTCTTAATTTTTGGTTCCGTTTTCAAATTGGTCTACATTAAGGTCCAAAGGGTCCAAAATTAAACTAAGTTTGATTTTAACAAAAATTGAATTCTTAGGGTTCTTTGATATGCTGAATCTAAACATATATTTAGATTTTTTATTATGGGCCCAGTTTTCAAGTTGGTCCAAATCGGGGTCCAAAATTAAACTTTGTTTGATTTCAACAAAAATTGAATATATGGGGTTCTTTGATATGCTGAATCTAACAATGTATTTAGATTTTTGATTTTTGGGCCCCGTTATCAACTTTGTCCACATTGAGGTCAAAAGGGTCCAAAATTAAACTTTGTTTGATTTCATCAAAAATTGAAATCTTGGGGTTCTTTGATATGCTGAATCTAACCATGTATTTAGATTTTTGATATTGGACCATAATAGGTGAATGTCCAATTTAAAATTTTTAAGTTCTTAGACCACATTTATTCTGTGTCAGAAACCTATGCTGTGTCAAATATTTAATCACAATCCAAATTCAGAGCTGTATAAAGCTTGAATGTTGTGTCCATACTTGCCCCAACTGTTCAGGGTTCGACCTCTGTGGTCGTATCAAGCTGCGCCCTGCGGAGCATTCTATTAAAAAATAGGATGATTTTTTCTATATTTTATCACATTTAGATGAATTGTTTTAAACTATTTGTTTAAGGCTTTATATTTCAGAAGGTAGAAGACCTGGAAGCTTCATACATTGTAAGCAGCTACCTTATGTTACGAAGTTTCCATCTGTCATATGTCCATTGTCCTTTGCCTCATTTTCATGGTTCAATGACTGCTTGAAAAAAATTACAGTTTATTTGTTAAGTGAAATACTCACTTATTATGAGTAATAGGATAATGTATTAGGTATATGGGTTCCTTGCAAGGTCTACATATCCGTCAGGTCGGGTTCAATTGACCTCGACCTTATTCCATGGATCAGTCACCAAGGTTCAAGATAAATGGTCAAGTTCGTATCTCAGGTACTTGAAGTAATAGGTCAACTATATTTGGTGTATTGAATAATTGTAAGGGGTACATGTCTGACTGACAGATTTCATCTGACCTTGACCTCAATTTCATGGTTCATTGAATAATGTTTGAGTTTTTATACGACCGCAAACAAATTTTTGTGGTCGTATATTGGTATGACGTTGGTGTCGTCGTCGTCCGAAGACACATTAGTTTTCGCACTAATAACTTTAGTTTAAGTGAATGGATCTCAATGAAATTTTACCATAAGGTTCAATACTACAAAATGAAGGTGGGAATTGATTTTGGGGGTTATGGTACCCATAGTTCAGGAATTAGGGGCCAAAAATAAGCATTTTTGTAACTTCCAGACATAACTTGTGTGTAAGTGTTTGGATCTCTCTGACATTGTACCACAAGGTTCCATATCACAAATGGAATGCTGGGATTGATTTTGGGGGTAATTGCCTCCAAATTTTAGGAATTAGGGGCAAAAAAGGGGCAAAAAACAAGCATTTTTCTAGTTTCATGACAATAACTTGTGTGTAAGTGTATGGATCTCTCTGACATTGTATCACAAGGTTCCATATCACAAAGGGAATGCTGGGATTGATTTTGGGGGTAATTGCCTCCAAATTTTAGGATTTAGGGGCCAAAAAGGGGCAAAAAACAAGCATTTTTCTAGTTTCATGACAATAACTTGTGTGTAAGTGTATAGATCTTTATGAAATTGTACTACAAGGTTCCATATCACAAAGGGAAAGCTGGAATTGAGTTTGGGGGTAATTGCCCAAAAAGTTTAGGAAAAAGGGGCCAAAAATAAGCATTTTTCTAGTTTCCAGACAATAACTTGTGTTCAAATGTATGGATCTCTCTGAAGTTGTACTGCAAGGTACTATACCACAAAGGGAAGGCTGGGATTGATTTTGGGGGTAATTCCCTCAAAATTTTAGTAATTAGGGGCCATAAAAGGGCAAAAAAACAAGCATTTTTCTAGTTTCAGGACAATAACTTGTGTGTAAGTGTATGGATCTTTATGAAATTGTACTGCAAGGTTCCATATCACAAAGGGAAAGCTGGGTTTGAGTTTGGGGGTAATTGCCCTTAACGTTTAGGAATTTGGGGCCAAAAAACAAGCATTTTTCTAATTTCCAGACAATAACTTGTGTTCAAGTGTATGGATCTCTCTGAAATTGTACTGCAAGGTACCATACCACAAAGGGAAAGCTGGGATTGAGTTTTGGGTTGATGAATCATAAGGGGGTTCAAAAAATTGGGGGGGATTTCTTTTTCTTTTTTTTCTTTAAAATTTTCCATTTTAAATTGGTTATTTCTGATTTATATATAAAAGCAAATAATAATGATATGGTTTGAATAGGTAAATTAAAAATTTTTTAAGTTCTTAGACCACTTTCATTCTGTGTGAGAAACCTATGCTGTGTCAAATATTTAATTACAATCCAAATTCAGTGCTGTATCAAGCTTGAATGTTGTGTCCATACTTGCCCCAACTGTTCAGGGTTCGACCTCTGCGGTCGTATCAAGCTGCGCCCCAGCGGAGCATTTAATTGTGGATTGGTCTACTTCTAAGATACTATAAGCAATAGGTCAACTATATTTGGTGTACAGAATGATAGTAAGGGGTACATGTCTAACTGACAGATTTCGTCTGACCTTTGATCTCAATTTCAT